TAAGAGTGAGCACGTGCAAAAGAGATGGCCCGCGGTGGTTGATTCACTTGTGAACGGAACATGTGTGACTAACTCTAGATCTGTATTCAAACGTAGCTATTCACAAATATTCTATCCCCCCGTTTCCCATCCCATCCTAGCTTTCTAAGAGTATAAACCCTCAAGTAGAAAATAATATAAAAGAAATAAAAAAATATAAACAAAAATTACCGCCCTTTCCCATCCCGAAACCCACAATAAAACCCAAACGCATGCCGCATCCAGCGCACAACGTTCTAGCTTAGCCTAGGGGACATGAGACAAAAAAGTGAAGCGACAACACAATTTCACATATCGGTCATTAATACTAGCGGGCCCTAAGCCGTCTTGTTGCGGCTGTTGTCCTCAATGTAGTCGCCAGCGGCGGCCTTCTCGGTGCTTGGCGCAAAGCCGTAGCGGATGGCATACTCCTCGACGTCGTCGGGGGAGAGCAGTGGCAGGGCCTTGGCGGCGCGTACGTACGAGATGTTCTCCTCGAAGCCCTTGGCGAAGATGAAGTCGATCTCTTCGAGTGAGCGGAGACGGGTTTCGGGGTAGAAGAAGTAGCTGATTGACTTATTAGTATTGTAATATTCAAGCTTAGATTGAGGAGTGCTTACATGAACGGGATGAAAGAAGCATTGACAGCAGCAAAGAATAGATACGTCCCCCACTGGATGCGATCAATCATAATGGGCGTAATCATGACCACCACAAAGTTAAACAGCCAGTTGGTAATCGTCGACACGGCATTGGCCTTTCCTCTAGTCCTGAGAGGGTTGATCTCAGCGGGATACAACCACGGCAGCGGCAACCAGGTGACCCCAAAGGTCGCAATATACAAGAACAGACCCGCGGCGGCACCGCGGGCAGCAGTCTGTGTTCCAGGAATCAAGCAGCAGAAAGTGATAGTCATAGCGAGAGCCTGCCCGATAGTACCTGCAAGGAACATCTTCCTGCGTCCGGCGCGCTCAATGATGAACCACGAAGTTGATGCGAAGATGGCATAGACGATCATGTTTACGCCGCCCATGATGAGGGACATTGAGCGGGACTGGCCGATGGACTCCTGGAAGAGGATGGGGAAGTAGTAGATGACGGCGTTGCAGCCGCCGATCTGCTGCATGAGCTGCGAGGAGGCACCGATGAGCATGCGGCGGAAGTGCTGTGTCTTGCCGCCGGTGAAGAGGTCGCTGTAGCTGGACTTGTTGCCGACTTCGGCGGCAGCCATGGAGTCGAGGATGACGCGCTTCTCGATCTGGACGATGCTGGAGTCGAGGTCTTCGCCGGCGAGGGCGGCGATGACGCGGGTTCCCTCTTCGTCTCGGTCGCGGGAGAGGAGCCTGTGGGAAACGCATCATCGTTAGCCAGAGTCATGAGTGATTGAAATATATAGATTGTTATATATAGTAATATTGCGGTTACATACCAACGCGGCGACTCAGGCAGGAACAGCATGCCCACAATCATGATGACGGCAAACAGGATCTGGAACGCAATGGGGAAGCGCCAGACGACATCACTATTGGTGAACGACACGCCGTAGTTGAGCCAGTAACTAATAAGGGTACCGAACGCAATGGAGCCACCCTCAATGCAGATGAGCAGCCCGCGGTTCTTAGTTTTGGCGCACTCGGCCTGGTAGGTCGGGATCGAGGAGGTGTTCATTCCATTACCAATGCCAGTGACGACTCTGCCAATGATGAATTGTGCCTAGGATTTACATGTTAGCTGAATTCAAAAAACTCAAACTCCTCGCTAATTCCATATATTTGGTGGTAATAATTAGGTAATGCATACCAACGACTGATGACCTCGGAATGCTGTAATCTGGATGATGACGCCAATGATCATGATGACGGCACCCGTCATAATACTCTTGCGACGCCCGAGCTTCTCGCCGACAAAGAGCACTGAGATGGCGCCGAAGAGACAGCCGATTTCGTAGATTGCGGTCACGAGACCCTGCATGGTGGGGTCGCCCTTGGTCTCGGGGATGGCGGCGTTGAATTCGGGCGCGGTGATGATACCGCTCATGACACCTGGAAGAAGTAGCTATTGTTAGAATTTGTATTGGAAAAAAGGTGGGTTGTACTAAAGTGAGGAGCTTGAGAGGTAGGAAGGTTGATAGCTTACCTTGATCATAACCAAAGAGCAGGAAACCGGTGGTACAGATGAACGTGATAGCAAACTGGAGGGATTTCCCTCGAAGTTCGAAACCCATGATTGGCTATTATTTCTGTCGTGTTCTTTCTGAATATGTATGTTGGGTATTCGTCTTCTCCTTTCTTTAATTCCTTCTTCAATAAGAAAAAAAAGAATTAAACTCCCAACTCCAACGGTCAAAAAGTGATTGCAGATGCCACAGCAAGAAAGCTGGGAGATAGGGACTGGTTATATAGATATACCTCCGCTACCCAATCTGCATTTCCTAACCAGCTAGCATGTGCCTACCCCCCCCCCCCCCCCACCCACCACCAGTCGATACAATCGATCACCGTCCATCGTGTAAGGTAAGTAACTGGTAAGGTATGAGTACCTTCTAGGGTAGAACATCAGTTACAGCAGCCCTCCTCCTCCTCCCTCCACCAGCGAGTGAACATTTTCCCCAGGCCCGGAGACATTGCCGAGTCTGAACATGCTGCGCTCTCGCTGCAGCGGGTGACGGGGAAATGATCGTCGGCAGTATGAAGTAACATATCACCAAGTGTCCACATCAGGCCTAGTCACCCGGGGGGGTGAAGGAGAGTAGGGCAGTTAACAAACATTCCCCGGGGAAAGGCAATAAACCCACACGTCATAACCCCGACTTCTATCAACCAACCACCCCTCATCGTCCCCTATGGCCTAAACCTGGAGGGGCTTAAAGGGGAAGAATAGTAGAGCTGGGTAGAGGTGCTTTTTACCCCCTCGAGGAGAAAGGGTCAAGCTCGGAATTCATCGTGGACTGTACTCAACTTGACTAGATCAAGTACTGACTGAGTCAGTAGATGGTTTCTCTCGTCGTCGTCGTCGATGGCAACCGCCACGGCCATGCACGCCTTGCTTAGCCAGTCACTTCTTCACTTCCCTGTGCTTCCTTCCTAACATGCTTGGCCCTCCGAGTCGTTACTCTACTCCTGCTCCCGATGCTGATGCGCCTCCACGGCTACGGCGTTGCCAAGAACTTCACGAGAGGGTCCCTTTGCTTGGTTTGCTTGCTTCGATTGGCGCGCTTCGGGTATGCAGCGGCACCAGGGTTTAAACTTTTTTTTTCTCTCTCTCTTTCATGCCTTGTAGTTTCTCCGCAGCATGTGAATCTTGCCTGAATATGGCGCACAGGCAAGCATAAGTTCAAGGGGAGACTCGGGTAAAAACAAGAGATTGAGCAAGAACCCCTGCCATGGCCTGGGTAGAGGGAGTGTGCATGGGTAGATAGGGCTCGACAGCAACCAAGCAAAAGAAAGCCAGGCATGGCAGGGGGAGGTTGGGAAATCGTCATACCGTGCAACCCTCACACCCCATGAAGTAACGCTTCCTCGACCACCAGAACCAGAAAAGCTTTTAAAACAAACAGAATTCCCCGAGTAAGACCGGTTCTGCAGATCGGGCCTAAAGAGGAAGGACGTGGGTGAGCCGCAATCCAGCAGTTGTCGGTAGCTAGGCAGCATGTGGAAAAATGCTTCAACCTCTATTTCGCTCGGCTTACCTGCCGAGCGCACGTGACTGCGTCAATGATCGACATGCGGCGCGGGGGGGTCGCAAATACACGTATCGACGACTTTCATAAAGAAAAAAGTAGTTCCAACAGAAAGAAATGAAAGAAAGAAACTAGCTAACGGATTAATTCCTTTAGATGAAAAATGACATCTCGGAAGAAAGGGTCTCGGAAAAACTCTTTAGAAAGATCACCGCAAAATTTGAAAATCGAAAGGTTTTTGAACGAGTTTTTCCGAAGTGTTGGCTTGGGGTGCGAGTGATTGCTGTGATTATCACCATTACCAGTTAGGGGCGTGGGTAAAACCGCAGAGAGAAATATGAGTGGAGTATTCTAGAGTAGGTAAAGGGCACTCTACTCTACTCTAGCTTGGTAATTCAATAATCTACTCTGCGTAGAAGAACAAACTCAAAGGGAAATGCAGCTGCGGTGGGTCCTTATGAGATCATAGATCGTAGCTATCTGGTTTTTTCATTTTTTGATTCACTCTTCGCTGCAACAGTTCTGGACGGATTTCGAATATGCCCTCTCGTCATCCAAGACCCAGGTTCTCGTTTCAATAGACCTGGCCGTCGGGACTCTACATACATACATACATACATAGAGCACCTGCTTGCCTGCCTGTCTCTCCCAGATGCCATGCCATCGGCCTACCGGAATAACTCCAACTGCGCGGTACCACTTCGGTGAATACGGCGAGTTCAATTCATCTAGGCGCCCTTCCTCTTCCTTCTCCAATTTCTCGGACGACTAATTTAATCATAATGGCTTGGATGGGCGATCAGCACTGTAGGTACATGTAGCGCGGCCAGATCGTCATATCTCGATATAACTATTATGCAACTCATCTTCGCTCAGGGACCACTAACTGTCTGTCTCTCACCCGTCATTTGCATGCACAATTTCTACTTGGGGAACTCTAGCAGCAGCGAAGAACTCAACAGCATTCTGCGCTGCAGTGATGTTCCAGAGAGGATGGATGATCGTTCGATGAATTATAATAGGCCCAGGGACCCACGCATTGGGTAACTCTAACCCCTGGCTGGCCCTTTCGCTTTTTTTTTATGTCGCTTGGGATGGTTGGTATGATATGATATGATATGTACCGGTGTGTATAAAATAAAAATCGCTCGCGAGAATATTTATTTAATTTTTTCTTTTTGTTTTCGTGTCTGTCTGATATGTTCTAGACCAGGGAGGAAAGATATGTGATGTAGCAAGACATCCTTCCGAAACAAACGTTTCACAAGCCAGCCAGCTTGTGAATACTTATCTTCGTATCTATCTACCGACGATGGCATACATGTTGCTGGCGGATAAACTCATCGGTTAGTATTCTAGAGCCACATGGATTAGCGTGATATAATTACCCCGAATCATGAGAAATCATACAGTCCCTATTCCCAAATCCCCAGCTCCTAGTTATTACAAAACACCCTAGAGTATCCCTATGTATGTATCCACTCCACAACATACGGCTACCTCGGCAAACCAAACCGCAATTTTGTAAAATCGCGGGGTACTGTACGTACACCCCAGCCGTTGGCTGTGTTCACGATAATTATCGCACGAAATTCTGGGGAATATTGCAGCGCAGGGCAGGGGTTTTGGGTTTTCGGGTTCATGGAGTAAGTAATCTACTTGTTAGAAACCAGACCAGACCATTGACCAGGAGCTGGCCTGCCCTCGCGTCTCGCTCGGTCGGTCGCTCGCTTGTACTACTTTCCCCACGTTTCAATTGTCTGTGTTTTTTTTGCAAAAGCGCAGTGCAGTGCACGTACGGAGGAGGACAGTGGTACGATGCCTGCGATAACCGTAAAGTCAGAGAGCGCGATTTAACGGTGAAACTTGAAACTCAGGTAGCTAGGTAGTCCGAGGTTCGGGAGTTCAAGCAGTGCTTGTGTTTCTTGGCGTGGGTAAGGGGTCGGAATAAGGAGAGTAGGGACCCCTGCATTCCGTGACAACGGCTTGCATGGCTGAAAGCGTGACAGCCGGCCGCGGGACCAACCTCGTACTTTTGGTGAGATGAGCTGTGAGTAGCGTAACTCAGGTAGAGTAACGCATGCAGGGTTATCGTCGATGGGTCTTCTCCATACCCCATTGTCCTACCAAGATTGACCAATTCAGACAGACCTCCATACCAATCCCAAGCCTCAATGCCAATCACAACTACCAGCAACCCCCTCCGTCTCCCCCCATCCAACGCCGTCCACTGGCTCCAACACCCCCCCAACCTCCTCGCCGCCAACCCCTCCGGCGTGACTCACACCCAACACTCTCCCAGCACGTACATCATCACGCTCTCGATCCCGGTGCTATGGTTCTTCTCGTTCACAGTGACGACGGAGGCTGTGTTTGAGAACTGCGTTGACGGGGTGTTTGTAGTTACGAAGACAGGCGGGGTGCGGACGAGTAGTGAGTGGAAGGTGGTGGCGGTGGGGGAAGAGGGGGAGGAGGTGTGTGTGGTGAGTGAGGTGTTTAGAGTTTTGGAGTGTTGGTGGGGAGCGGGGTGGTTTGTGAGGTGGACGGCGGGGAGGGAGCATGTAGTGTTGATGGAGAGGGTGGAGGCGGGGTTGCGGGCGGCGGGGGAGAGTAAGAAGGTGAGGTAGGGTTGTGGGGGGTGCGTGAGTGGCGGTATTAGGGATGGATTATGAGCCTGGAACCGAATAGTAGATCACGTACTAGTTCTTGCTTCTTTAAGAAACGTTTAACAACGCAGTCATTAACAACATCCACCACCGCAATTGAATGGTCGACTGACTGCATGAATCAGCAGTTATCTACTTTATGTAGACACATGTATGTAGCTTTAGAGTGGACTTGGGAACTGCCGAAATCGATGCAATTGCAATTGACCAATTGAAGCTATCATTATATTTAGGAATTGATACGAGGCTTACTTCGTAAATACACGTCCCGGCAGTCGTAATCTAGTTGAGCAATTGAGCACTTTCTCTATATTTATCAGAGTGCCAGAGGTGTCAATTTAAGGCTATGTAGTCAGCCCCGCCTGTTTCAGGAAAATCACAACCTAAACCGAAACAGCTGCTATATAAAACTTTGCTTTAATCACAATTGTATTTCTTCACATCGTCGTCTGATTGCATAATAATAATTTATTTAATTCCCACTCCCCCAGCTCAGCTCGTATTAAACTTACACTAATACAAATCCTCCGCCTTCCAATCGCTATAACCATACCCCACCACCGGAATATCCGTCCTCACACACCCCTCCGGCACATTCACATATACGCCTACGAAATGTAGCTTATACGTATTGTTGTAGTCGGTCGTGGGACACAAATACCAGCGGTCCAAACCATTGTATCTACCCGCACGATCTGGTCAGCCAATGCCGACACGCCAAGTAACTACTCGGGGTGGAAAGTTTTATATAAGAGGAATCAATACCGTAGTAGCCTATCATCGCGCCCAACCGAAAACTTGCCCGTGTCTGCACCATAGGGCACATACGCCGAGTGCGGCGCCGTGAACCCGATTGGCTCCGACCTAGTCACCCCCGACACCTATCAGCATGCATCCCGAGAATTCAAGGAACAAAAAACAAAGGAAAGACAGCGCTACCTATTGGGAAACACATAACCATTCCGCCACCCCGTAGCACTACTAAAGTAATTCGTAAACGTCAAACCGCCCTCCCCACCGCCGGGCTTACCGCCAGGATAGTTCAGGATCAGCGGCTCCACGCGGCCCGAGTACTTGATGTTGCCGATGTAGACGGTGCCGCCGCTGGCGGAGAGCTGGCGCTCGGCGGTGGTGATGTTGCCGCTGGGCCTGACGAAGGAGACCCATGTGCTTGCGCCCTGACAGGCCGCGGAGGCCGTGGTAGCGGTAAGAAAGAGGGTGGTGAGGAGGGTAAGGAGCTGCATCTTGGATGGGCCTTAATGAGGAGAGGACTGGCTGTGGGTTGGTAGAGGGATTGGAGGGCGCCGAGAGCTGGTTTTATATTGGCGTTTGGCTGCGCAATTGCTGGAATCCTATACATAGCTATAACCATACATAGCTATCCCGTGAAGGGATATAATTGACACAAGATAACTAGAGTACTAGCTAGAGTATACCGTCCGATTCGAATACGGATTGCGGTATCGCCCTCGTCAGCTCTGTACGTACCCGACAGCACTCCCCCTCAGCATATCCAATCCATTGCAGATCTTTAGATCGGGTGGTGTAAAGCCATCTGTGTAAGAATTAGCAGTGGAACGTTCCACCGCAGCGCAGCTAGCATGCATCCAGGTCACACAGGACCCACAGATACGGAAATGCTACGGACTACATCATCGCCAGCTAGACACCAGTGTGGAAACGTTATCCCGTTTCGAATCCCTCCGTATCTTGAGGTACAGAGAATGGGCTTTTTATAGGCCCCATGTGGCACCGAATTGGTGGTTGGGATGTTCGTATCTGCACCCCTGGTCTGATCTCGTAATATAGCAAGATATTCTATAGATCTTGTGGTAATTAATTAGGATTAGTTACAATCCTATCCCAGCGCAGCTCTCACGAAGTAATTTCACGTTTTTTTCCCACTCTTGCGCTTGCTAGCTAGAGCAGATACCCACGACGTCACCACACCCCAATTCCCAACACACAGCATCCCCCTTCAGTGCAAAAAGGTCGGCTGAATACCTACCCACAACACTCACCAGCTACCACCACCCCCTTGGTTCCCCCGAAGACATACTTCCACGCACAAACCACTGGCGAGAAAGCTGTACTAGGCCTCCGGGCGCGGTGTGGGCACAGTTACAGAGCGAGAGCTGCAATGGCACGGTAGAGCTGATCGGGGGTGCTTTACCAATGTCCATTGGGACCGCCTCGAAAGTGGCGGGATAGGATTTTGTGCTGCGGGAGACAGGTGTGTAGTTAAGTAGTGGCATGCTGTGGGATAGTTGGTTGACTGGCAGTCCTTGTTTGGGCTCGTGATGGGGGGTTCGGTGGGTCTGTTTGGTCGGTGGAGATCTTTGTGAGAGTAGGGAGGGTGATTTAGGATGTATGGTTGGCACTGAGTGATTGAGTGGAGACAATATGTACGGATGAGACTAGACGTAGAGAAAAAGGCTAGCTTGAGCAAAGATGGAAGGTAGATAAATTTAGCTATATGGTTATTCCGTCGGGGATCTCCACTTGAGATCGATGTGGCTATAAGGAGTATATAGCAGTAGTCAGTTGTACGTTGCCGACCCTGAGCGGATATGTACTTTGGCGTTTGTATATATAGCTAATGTAGGAAGGAGGATCACTGGTGCAGGCTATGAGCCGTACTGTGGTTAATACATATCGTACTTATACTTTGGGTTACGTGTAGATTAGGATAAAGTGAATTTTACTACCTTTAACCATAAACGTAAGTATATATTATACAAGTAGAATAGGGCCTGCGGCCGCAAATTTATATATAGTAAGCGAATAGAAGCTTTCAGCATCGTCATCTAGTCCGGGTAGTTTTTTTTTTTTTTTTGTTTAATTCATTAATTATCTAGTCCGGGTACTTCCCAAGAGCGACTGGGTGAGAAAGTGTGTTTGCCTTTGGGTCTTTAGGACATGTAGTGGCGCGCCCAGTCCATGATCCATTCCTAGTTGAATTCTTCCTTCTCAATGAGCTAGCTCGCGAACTCTCCTCGCTCGCACGAGTTCTTAATATTAACATGTATCAAGGTTCCCTGTGGTACAAGATCCCCCACACGCGGAGTTTACTTTAAACTCTGTAGGAGTTTAGTTAAACCATGAGGTGGTTTAGCTAAACACCGCGGAGTTTACTTAAATCCCACTCGATGTTTTTGTTTTTATTTTTTCTATTTTTTTCCCGAAGTCCAAAATAAGCTCTTATACGTCGTACTCTAGCTTGCATAATAAAATAGTATATTATTGAAAGTCACCAACAGTGATGGTAGCTTGACAGTTAAATTCTGAGGCTAGTAACTACATTATAGGGGGTGTGGGGTGTTGGGGGTGTGGAGTTCAATCCACAGTTGTTTTATATCTTTGCTTGATATCTTAAAAACAAAACCTCGCTGTCAAGTTAAACACCTGGGGGTTTAAATAAAACCCCCTGGTGGTTTATTCAAACTCTTTGGTAGTTTATCTACGTACACTCCCTGAGAGTTTAAAGCAAACCCCGGCCTGGGAGTGTAAAGCAAACTCTTTGGGAGTGTACTTAAACACTCTGGTAGTTTATGTAAACCCTTCTTTCACCGGGACAGCAATGGGGTTTACACAAAATTGTACCATAGGGGTTGATATATACTAGTATAAGACTATACCCGCAATTTATTCTACCTACTAGTGTTTGCCCTTTCGATGTCAGCTCCCTTCCCAGTATTCCAGGGTCCTATTTCGGGAACAGTTCTTTGTCTGTACATATGTGCTTCTATATGTGGTATGCAGACCATACTAATATTCTAACCAATAGAAACGCTTCATGATGACAATTAAGAAGCATATACTGTTTAGATAGAGGGCACTGAATACTTATGTTCTTCTGCGCATTGCATACAGTCGTCGAGGCTATTTATAATTATACCGCTACTCTTCGAATTCCCATATTCCAATAAATTAAACAAGTTATCGAATCAAGGTCTCCTAGTTGCGCAATATGGGATGGGGGGCTTTATATACTCGTGTGGCTCTTGTCATGTGTTAACGGATCGAATTGGCTTCAACTCTCTCTACCACCAGATTTAATGCATCAAGAAAATGCATCAAAAAAATTCACCTTTTGAGAAAGTCGTTCGAAAGGCATCGTGAAAATCGTTGGGAAATACAGTAAATTAACTCGTCGGGAAATGAATCAGGAAATGAATCAGGAAATACCCGATCAGGCAATGGATCTGGGCCCAAACTAGGCTAAAAAATCATTTTTTGAAAAAATTGACTTGAGTGGGGATTGAACTCAGGTCTTGTAGGGTTCTAACCACCTAGGAACCACTAAACTTTGGTTTTGTTATAGATAACGTATTATTAAGTCTTGAAAATCTATGATTTCGGTTATTTTGACCTCGGAAAGTCATCACAAAGTCGTCAGAAAGGTATCAAAAAGGCATCCCTAAAAGGCATCACCAAAAGGCATCAAAAAGGCATCAAAAAAGGCATCAAAAAAGGCATCACTTGATGCTTTTCCACTGGAAGGGCATCGAAATGATGCCTTTTCAACAAACGCTTGCTGGAAAGGCATAAAGGTGATGCCTTTCCCAAAACATTACTATGGCAGGATGCATTTCCTGATGCATTTACTACCGTGGTAGAGTCTGTATCTAGCACTGAAGTCACACTATAGCGGCTAGTCCTTAAGGGTTAAATTTTGCGATGTTAAAGGGTTGGTTGATCATAAAGCACACTGACGATCTGTCGCTGGCTAAAGGTAAAGGGGCGTAAAAACGATAGATAAAGCAGCACGCGTGTGGGTATATGTACTCGGAGATGAAGAGTGGCAGAAAGTCCTTCGATACTTCCCCCTGAGAACTTCACTCTACCAAAAAATCACGCGGAGAACTCTTAGTAACGAATTCGAAAATATATACTTTTAGGCTTGGAAGCTAGAAATTAACAATTGTGACCGTATCTCAACCGAGTGATATTATATGATTGCTGATGACCTCAGCGCTCATAATCGGTGGCTTTTGGTTGGCTTTGAGATCGTCTTTGGACACTCGAAACTACGCCGTGTCCACAGGATATTTGTTTAATTTACCGCAAACCTCGGGAATAACGAATCGAACTGGACTGGAATATTGTGCTTCGTATTGGTCAAATGCTTGTTGAGCCTAATCCGACAAACCCAAAGTGTACTTTCGGTCGGTATTCCAGCCCAGTTCGAAACGTTATTCCTGCCAGTATGTACGTAATCTATTTTGTGAAACGTGAGATTCAGGCTGCATATACATAATAGCATTGTAGAAGCGCAACTGTAAAGATTATGCACTTACCTTAACTCATGATTGGCCCAACATTGAACTGCATATAGTGCGCAGTGAATCTTAGGCGCGCGGGGTAACAGCAGCTTCCTCATTAACATCTCTTCCGATAAACATAAACAGAAAGAGCGCCTATTTTTATAACATGTCGTTCGGTTTTAGTGTTGGCGACTTCGCTGGTACCCTACAGCTTGCCTGGACTCTCTATACAAAATGCTACAAAATTGCCAAAGGCGCGCCCAAAGACTTCAAATGCCTGAGAGATGAGATCAACACATTGCATAGCTCCATCAAGCTTCTTCAACACGACGTCCTTGATAAAGAATCCGTCTTGGTCCGTGCTGGAGCTGATCGTGTTGAAATGGTGAAAAGAGTCATGCGCCAGGTTGATGTAACACTCAAGGAGTTGGAAAAACATTCAAAGAAGTACGAGAGCTTGGGAAAAGAACATTCTAGCAGTATAAAAAAGTGGTGGACCAGTGTGCGGTGGTCTGCAGAAGCTTCGGAACTCGATGCATTACGCAATAAGGTGAGTGCGCGCATATCTTTGGCCAATTGCGTTATATACCTGTATAAGCATATCGGAATGGCCTTGGATACTTCCTTCTGAGGTATTTCTTACAGCTATCTCGTATTTCAAGGGTGACGCCTGTCATATCTATTAAGAGATTGAGCCAGGTCTTTGCAAAGACAAAGGATATATAGCCTGTTCAACATACTAATGCGCATAAATGATTTAGCTGGTCTATCATAATGGGGTCATCAGTCTACTCCTAATCTCGTGCGACAAGTAATGTTTCCCGTCCAGAAACACTAAAGAAAAACAAGAAGGGTTGACACGGATTGTTACAGCTCTTCCCTGCAGCGTATAGAGAAAATATCCTCGAAGGTTGAAAAGGGGGTTAATGATATCAAAGACATGATTCGAAGTCCCGCAGTCGGAGCACCCACTATCTCAGTTATCCAAAGAGACGGATTTTTAGCGATATCCTTAAGTCAAACTTTGATGAAAAATGCAGAAATTGGGCGGAAATGAAGGACCATCGGGGTTGATGAGTGGATTCAAGCGGGGAGTTGGTGGCTATTAAAGGTAACTATTATATTGATGTCCTCAAGCAGCGAGTGTCAATTATATTTACAGATAATCGCTGACCCCCGTATATAAATACAGTCGCAAATGGATCTCTACACTGGGTTACCATCAGAGCGCAAGATATCTTGGCAAGGCTATGCAAACCTCATCAAAGCGGCCTGGATCTTGATAGATATCATTACGATACATCCGCAACTAGACTACCTGGAGACAAGTACGGGGTACGGTATAGCACTACTAGTAGAGGTTGGTGAAATTCCTATCATTTATGCGGGAAGTATGTAAGTATGTATGTACTAATCACGTCACATGAACTAGACAACACGAAGAGAGCTTGAAAATATTAATAAGTCATGCCTCGCGAGACCAACACTTACAGAGTTAGGTACTTGTGATTTAGCAATATGGGAGACACAAGTAAAGGAGTCCACTTTAAAGCCTCACGTAGAAACCTCGAGCTCGGGCTTGAGCCGCCAGGCGTGGATGACAGAAAATGAATATGTACTCTTTCAACGGTATTTTACCTCCCCCCCTAATTCTTATTATATTTCTAAGTATGTAGATTCGTGTATTACCAGACAAATAGCTACGCAGTAGAAACTCCGTGCATTGCCCTCTTCTTAATGCATAAAGTGGTCAAGGAAGCGAAGATAGTTCTGAGAGACCAGAGCTGGCTCACATTGGCAACGTTCGTTGGTATATCTCCCAATACCCATAATTCCCAAATGTGATAAAAGAAATTCTCTAATTTCATTTTTATTGATCGAGTTTCAGTGAGAGATGTGACCCCATATCCTAATGAAAATGTTATGCAAATCGAGGATCAAAAAGTAAGATTCTCCACAACCCAAGGTATGAGCAGGTCGTTTCTCTTCTCCTTTACACAAGCGGAGTGCAGTTAATGATTCTATGACAGATGTGCAGCACCTATGCGCGATTGCGGAAGCTACCAAGGAATACTTATTTTATTGCAAGTTCAAAGAGAACAACCCGGAGATTCTGCGATCATTTACCCTACTCTTTTCCATCAAGAACAATTATAGGGGAGTGGTCTGGAGACTACTTGAAGATGAGGAACCTTACGCGGAGGTAGAAAAACCCAGAGAAAATACAAGGGTGGAATACTCTACCAGATTACTACTTGCAGCTAAACAATTGGCAAAATTGACGAATCAATCCATGTTAATGGATGACCACAGAGTCAAAAGCACTTCGAAGGACTTATCTTTATTTGTTTGGTGTATGATGGGCGAATACAACGTAGTGGCACTCCTTTTGAGCGAGGGGAAGGGTATATCGATAGGCATGGAAGATTTAATCATGTGCGGGCTATCGAAACCTCTACACAATGCCGTGCGTAACAAGAATTTAGAGTTGATAAAACTCCTTTCTTCCGAAAGAGGGTTTGATATAGACGCATGTGATCCTTCACCAGGGAGTCATGATGGTTCCACAGCACTAGGGATAGCAAGTCAAACTGGACTCATCGCGGCAGTAAACACCTTACTCGAGGCCGGGGCCGATTTCAATGCAGGACGACCCCAGGCATTAGAACATGCAGTGAATAGAGGCCATCTAGATGTCGTCAATAGGCTCATCGAGGCCGGGGCCGACGTCAATGCAGGAAGATCCCAGGCGTTAGATGATGCAGCGAAGAGGGGCCATCTAGATGTCGTTAGTAGGCTCCTCGACGCCGGGGCCAGCGCCAAATTTCATGCTTATATATTGCACGATGCAGCGGGTAGGGGCGATCTAGATTTAGTCAAGAAGCTCCTCGAGGCCGGTGCCGATGTCAATGCAGCAGAGTCCCGCGCATTAATGGAGGCAGCGTATAATGGCCACCTAGCTGTGGTGAACAGGCTCCTCGACGCTGGGGCCAGCGCCAAATTTGATACTGATATCTTCCACGAGGCAGCGGATAGGGGCGATCTAGGTTTAGTCAAAAGGCTTCTCCGGGCCGGCGCCGATGTCAATGCAAGAGAATCCCGCGCATTAAAGAAGGCAGCGTATAATGGCCAGCTTAATCTAGTCAACATACTCCTCAAGGCCGGGGCCGATGCCAATGGAGACGAGTCCGGGGCGTTAATAGGCGCGGCGGCGGAAGGCCATCTAGATGTGGTCAATAGGCTCCTCAAGGCCGGGGCCGATGTCAATGGAGACGAGTCCGGGGCGTTAATAGGCGCGGCGGAGAAAGGCCATCTAGATGTGGTCAGTAGACTCCTCGAGGCCGGGGCCAATGTCAATGGGCTCTGGGACAGAGCGTTAAGAGTCGCGGCGGCGGAAGGCCATCTAGATGTGGTCAATAGGCTCCTCAAGGCCGGGGCCGATGTCAATGGAGACGAGTCCGGGGCGTTAATAGGCGCGGCGGAGAAAGGCCATCTAGATGTGGTCAGTAGGCTCCTCGAGGCCGGGGCCAATGTCAATGGGGGCGGGTCCGTGGCGTTAATAGGCGCGGCGGCGAAAGGCCATCTAGATGTGGTCAATAGGCTTCTCGAGGCCGGGGCCAATGTCAATCAGCGCGAGGCGTTAATGCGCGCGGCGGCGGAAGGCCATCTAGATATGATCAATATTAATAAGCTCCTCAATGCCGGCGCCAATGTCTATGCAAGAGGATCCGAGGCATTAACAAATGCAGCGCGTTATGACCACATAGATGTAGTCAACAGGCTCCTCCAGGCCGGCGCCGATGACAATGAATCCCAGGTATTTCATTGGGCAGTCCGCGGGGGGCATTTTCATATAGCAGCCAAACTTCTCAAAGCGGGTGCCAATATTCAATCCCTCCCTGAGTGGAACAGGGGGAAACTCAAGTCTTGGATGCGTGGGAATGGTATTTCTATATCTTAATCCGCCTTCAGACCTGACCGCACTCCGCCCGAAACAACCATTCAAGTTCATCAATCGAGAGTGGGGCGAGACCTTCTTCCACTTGTGATCTGCTAGTATCGATGTCCGCTGTCTTTGGTTCTTGTTCGATGTTTATCTCTTTTGGTATTTGACGTATTTGGTTTGTACGGACAAGATGTAGTTGTGGGGGGGTTGGGCTTCAGGGTATGAATTGGTCGTGGTGGATGGGATATATTTATGGTGGGGCGGGGCGAAGGGTTGGCGGGGCGGTGGTGATCTTAGTGGTGGACGGGTTCTTTTGTTGGTTGGGCCGAAATTGTTTCCGCATATATCTAAGTTGATTTTGTTAACTATTGAATCATATCACTCGAATTCGTTTTTTTTTTATATATATAGAAATGGGTAATATTTGCGTTGCACCTGCCAAGTATACATGTAGTATACTTGAACCTCCACCCTAGTATTGCGGTCCAGAAGTCTGCAGGCACCTAGGAGCGACGTGACTTAGAGTATACATACCTTTTAATTTAGTTGTAGAATCAGGTATACAAGGCCGCACGGATGCAAAAACGCTGGGAAAAGATAAGGGGAGAAAGATCAAGCTTCACAAAACCACGATAGAATTGAACCCACAACCCAAACTAACTATACACTAAACAAAAAGGAGTATCAAAAAAATGGAAGAAGAAGAAGAAAAAGATGAAGATGAAGAAATTTACGCTCCAAGTGCAACCCGCACCAACAATGCCGCCACCCCACACCCTAAAGCAGCAAACAATGAATTTTTTTTCTTAAATTGCTAAAATGTAAATGCCAGTGCCGATTCAAACAGGAACAGAACTATGGAAATAATCGGAAACGACGATTGCTTATTTGTTTTAAAATCACTGTTTCAGGATACCGTTATTGATCAAGATGGCTGGGTCTGGGGCGTTCTTGTCCGACTGGAATGGGAGCGAACTTCCGACGATGAGCGCCTTCATCGCTGCTGTGTCTGTTGCAAGGGAGGAGTTTAGCCCAAGGTGGTAGGCGATGAGGCCAGTCACATCTACGGTCGCTATATTAGTTGATGTTTTGAAGATTTACAGCGGGAGAGAGAGAGGAATAGAATTGAACTTACGGGGTGTAGCCATAGAAGTACCGGAGATGGTATTGATAGGGTTGACAATGTTGGGAAGTGTAGGATCCTTAATCCAGGTGCTCGTCACATCCACTCCGGGTCCATAAGTGCTGACACAGGCGCCAAAGTTCGAAAATGTGGCTCTCTCATCATTGATATCCACCGCACCCACGCTCAAGATATCGGTGCCCTGACTAGCAAGTGCAGGGCTGGTGAGACAAGCGTCGACATCATCATTGCCTGCTGCAACACTGATGTGAACCCCACTCTCACTTGCCTTCTTCAGGACCTCATCAATAGCGTCACTGACGCCGGACGTGCCAAGACTCATACTAATTACCGATCCCTTGAAATCGGCGGCGGTCTTGCGCTGGTCGTGTTGTTGCATGACAAAGTCGACGCCGGCGAGAATGTTGTTTGAGTTACCAGTTTCGGCCGACAGCACGCGTACGGCGATAATGTTGGCAGCTTTGGCAAGTCCGAAGGTTGTAGATGCTGCTGTTCCCGCGCAGTGAGTGCCGTGGCCGACATCGTCGGTTTCGGTACCGTCGAAGCTGAAGCCAAAAGTGGCACGATTGTCAAAATCGACATGAGTGATGTCGACACCAGTATCCACGATGTAAATGTCAACACCAGCACCCAAGGTATTTACAGCACCGTCAAACTCGTATGATGTGAAGTCAAAGTCCCGGATGGTCTGACCCGAGGCGACCTGGACCTTATCTGCTTGTGAGACACGCTTCAACCCCCATGTTCCATCTGTTGAGTCGTGAAGCTTGACTTCCACCTGGGGTTGATATGTCTTCCAGCCTGAGGAGAGGACCTCTAGTTGGTTTACGCAGTGACTCGAAAGCGAGGCGGAAAAGCCCTTGAAGGCGCTGTTGTTGTAGATGTTGGTTACGTCTTGTACAGTGAGGTTCATAGCTGTGAGCATGTCGTCCAGGGTGCGCGGGTCTTCTTCGGAGATAATAACATCCCAGCTGCCACCGGAGCCGGGGGTTTCGTCGAGGATATTTACGGTGTCTGAGGTGCCGACACTGTCGGTAGTGGTCGTTGTGTTTGCTGGTGTTGAGTGGCCTCCATGGGGTGCGGCAAGAGACAGACCAAGCGAGAGGGCGGAAAGAAGAGAGGTGGTGAATTTCATGATGGAGAGGTTGGTAAAAGGTTAAATATAGCGTATTCACAAAAAAAGATGAAGTATATTCAGAAGAAAATAATTCCTGTATATTATTAGGGCCATTGTATCAAAATAAAGCAAAGACCTAGGGGAAACTCACTCAGGAAAAAAGTCGCCAGCACAGAATGGATGGCGGGGTAATATTCCGGATAAGATTAGAAACAGTGATCGACACAGCTTCTGAACGGGAGGTACAGTGAAGACTGCAGGTGGTTAAGAGAATGTGGTGGTGGTGGTTGGTTTGTTCTTAGAAGGAATGCAAGAGCTGCAAGCAGACAAGGTGGTTGAAGCAATAGAAAGGAAGAAGTAAACGTTAAGAAGAAACAAAAAACAATAAAAGGGGAATTAAAAACAAGAAGGGAGAACCTGTCCCAAAGAAAAAGTGCTATTGCTGCTGTTCAACGGCTATGCTTGCAAAGGTGAATGAGGTTGAAATATCAGGGAGACTTCACACAGTTTATATTGACCGTTGACTAGGAGAACCATACGTACTATGTGATCCGAATTAGTACTAGATTAACCCTTACATGATGCAGGAACCAGGTCCCCCAGCATCCCTGCTGCCATCCCATCTCCACTCCAGCCAACCAACTGCTACTACAGGGCGCATTTATTGGCCCTCTCAACTTTCAGCCAACTATAGGCGTCAATTTGTACATTCGCATCCTCGTCCGAAATAACAATCCTACACCAGTCGTATCGCATCCGAGCTGGCGTTTTACTGTTTTAGCACAGTAATCGCCAAATACAGTCGAATTTGCCAGCGCTAAGTGATTAGATAGGACCTTTGCGGTTTCGTCGAATTTTAAACTCTCAATTTAGAGCAGCGGCTTCCAAATAACGGTACTTGTGAAAATACATGCTTTAGTCCTCCGTCTAGGCGCGCTGGGCATATAGTCCACTCTAACTGTTGAGGAACAGAACTGAAGTTTGGAGGAGAAAGTGAAATAATACTTAGGTAAATAAACATACCAAACAGAGGGCCGGCATGGGTCACCGAGCCGTACGATGAGAGATGAAACGAAGCCTCCGACGTCGCCATACTGCTAACTTAGGAGGGTACTCTTGCTCTTGCCAATGCTTCTGCGTGCACGTCTCTTTCGCTCTTTTCTTCTCTTCTTCTTATCCTGTTTTCTCCTTTCCGTTTTCCGCACGGAAAAAAAAAACCTGAGCCAATGCTAAATACAAACCGGCCCACAAATTCTCCGGTTGGCTACAGTGAGTTGATTGGTTGCCAAGGAGGCAGTTAGTTCAGGTACCGAATTTACGGCGCAATTCTCATTGGCCAGCCCTAGGGCCATCCTACTCTGTTAGCCGCGCGGAGTCAAACCGCATACAAGTAAAAATATTTCTCATCTCGGATTATACATCTTGCGCCTGTCGAAACCCTCCTGAGAAAATGAGACATCTATCTACCTGTCACCCTCTGCAGACAGCGTAGGTTTACCGAGGAACCTCAGGAGTAAAAATACATAACCCACAAGCTGGTGTATGTACCTACATGTATGTATGTCAGACGGGCTGCATTTTTTCGGCCCTCATTGGTGAAACTTTTCCACTCCTCTCCCCCGTAACCCCCGTAACCGGGTTTGGTAGGTAGAGTAGTAGCATTCCCGACCCCAACTTTTGGCGCCGAAAAGTTACCATCTATCCGGCCGCGATGCGATATAGTATGGTTGGCGACGAGCGTGTATGTTATGTATGCAATACGGTTTGAAAAAATGCCCTTTGGTTTCTCTGTTTCGCTGTTTTAGTCAGGGAGCGGATGGATTTATCTCTCCCAGCCTCACGCTCGGAACCGAAGAAAGAAAGTTCAAGGCCTGCATTCTACATACGTACGTACCAACCCTCGCAGTGCGTAGCCGATGAGGGAAGGCCAAAGTGCATCGCATCGAATTCATAGTGGGGCCTGCCCATGCACACGCCATCAGTTTCAAAAGTATTCCAGTGTTTCGAGTATACGCCAAAGTCTCTCCTGGCGCTATGACCCCAGAGGTTGGGGTAGTAAGCTGTGCAGCGTGCTACTGAGTTTCCCTGGTTCGATTTTCTCGGTTGTGCACGCGGGGCAAACGGGTTGTGGCTGTGGACCCATGGCTGGGGGTCTGTGGCGCATGATGAAAACCATTAACTGTAGCTGAATTGAATGGATGTGTCGTAGTTAACATTCCTACTTCCTACTTACATGTACTCTACAGTGATTACTGTAATGTATCCTACCCTCCTGTTAATTCCGGAGATTGTTGTTCTTATGGAAAAGGTGTTTGCATGTCCAATCTCATTTGATTAAGCCCTAACAGATGCGGTTGCACAAATCGATACCTCCATGTCGGGGTACTTTAAACTTTAGTTAGCTAGGATGATCATCTATCTCGCTTGATATTGACTTCATGCAGCTCCCAACTTACTCCCAATCTGCAGTACATGCTCTTAAAGCCTGCGTAAATATGTATAAATGCACCCACCGCACTCAAACGCACAAATCCATTGCGCACGCATCCCACACAGCAACTGTCCCATCCTATAGCTAAACGTTCATGCCCAAAACATTCCCTGTCTCGGGTGCTATCTTGGAACACCAACGGGACGTTCGGAGTTTATCGCCCACAGCTAGATGCGGAGATATATAGGATGGAATGTATGGCGGGCTATATATATATATGGGCCGAGCCACGTCAGTCGGTTAATCCTAGGCAGGTGTTGTTAGAAGTACATATCTGTGGATTTGAAGGAGAAAGTATGGATGGATGGTTGTATACCTGCGCGAAGACTGGGTATCTTATGGGTGCGCGAAGACTGGGTATCTTATGGATGCGCAAGGGTATGCACGCGCAAACCACCGCTAGCTACTCATTTCAGAATGACCTGGCTGGCTAGAAGACTCATCACAGCCGAGCAAAGGGGTGAATTCTGAGATGAGAGAGGAAGAATCGGGATTTTCTTTACCAATTATACGGTACTTGGTGGTGTCAATGGAAACGAAAGAGGGAAGGAGACCATATCTTCTTTCTTTCTGGTTTAAGTCATCACACGATACACACCGGCTAGCCTCTCCCCACCTAAAGAACCTAGGAGACCAGTCGAGAGCTAAATCACTCGACATCAAGTCGCACGCGCCAGGAAACTTAATCGGAGATTTCACTGGGCCTTTCGAGCATAGACTCTTTCTTATTCCCGGCTGTACCTAAATCTACATGTATGCGCATTTATACAACCTAGAACTAGCGCAGGGTATGGCGTCTTGCAAAAATTCCTTTATTCAAAATTACACACATATAAAGATCGCCTTCTACATTTCTCTCGTGTTTCCAGCCAAGTAGCGCCCTTAAAAGTCCATCAACAGAGCATCGATCCTATTGCGAGATAATGCTATGATCTGTTTTGGTGCTCTTGAAACAAATATCGGATAGAAGTAGTAAAAGTAAACAATATAGTGCAATAAGTTTATGTACCTGAATGGCGCGCTCGGATTTCCACATATGCCAAGCTAAGTAGGCTGAGTGATATCTCATGCACCTACAAGCTCTCAACCAAGACACCACTGTAACCTGAGTCCTCATCACGTGCACACTTCTACTTTTCTTGAGAACTCTCTACATCTAGTGCTCATCTATCCATTCCCCCCCACGCGCCACCACATAACGATATATTCCCCACGATCCGCGAAGCCAGCGATACCATTCATGTCCTCCCGAGCTGCAAGTAATCGCTGTAACAACTACCTCGAAGCACCATAGTCGATCTCCGCAGAGATACATCCCAACCCACCCCCCACGCATCCCTCCCTACCACTCAGACAACATCATGGCACACCCCCACCCTCCAGCAGGCAGGCGAGTAAGTCTACCCCACACGTCCAAAACATAATCATAGATTCTCACTCGGCCTTCTCCGGCGCGCATCAATCTCTTCACATCACATCGAGGCGTATTGGAAGATATGCTAATTGATACTTTTGAGAATGGCAAGTAAACATGTATATAGCCACCGGCGAGGCAAACATCCCAGCGAGTCCGTGTCGGCAACATTAACCAGAGGATGGCGCAGACTAAGTCAAGCAGCTAGTCTCTATTCCGGCGTTGGTAGCACTCTGTGCCTTCTTCCGGGTTGGGGGTACTCGTCTGGCTCAGGTGGTTGGCTTCGGGGGTGTACTATCGGATATTAGGGGACGCCCTAGCGGTGATCTCGCGTATAAGAGATTGGCATTTCCCACCCGTACGATTAACACATGCATCCACAGCAAAGCCAGAGCAAGAGCCGAATTCCACGAAACGTTAATTGAGCACAATTATCGGCCAGCATTTGAGACAGCGGGCCGAGTATATATATATATATATATAACGAAACCACAGCACAGCTGCACATAGATCGAAATGTCTTCTCAACAAACCGCCGTTCCTCCACACCCCAGCCTCCATCAGCTTCCACACCAAATTAAACCACACCAAACCACACCAGCCATCCCGCACTACATCACGAAAACTCACTCGTCCCCCTCTACCCACTCCGGCTAGCGCCCCACTACTAATTCTTGGCACTCTTGCTCCCAATCTCCGCGCGCTCCTATGCGCGCTGCAGAGGGAGGACGTTACGACTAACGAGGCGATGACAGGATAGCGGATGGATCTAGGAGGTGCTTTTTGCCCCGCTGCTTCGATGTAGAGCCCCGGGGGGGGGGGGGGGGTAAAGGCATAAATCACCGAAACACCAACTGGAAGAAGCCGTGGAATGGGACCGCGAATTTAATGTGTTTTTCATCTGCCTCAAGGCTTCACCATTCACGATCCACGACCTATGGAGGAAAGTAGGCGTGAGGAAGGCATCAAGGAAAGAAAGAGACCAAAAAAAACGGATATATCCAGCTGTGTTATTTCCTGCCGCCGCCAGCTCTCTCTACATACCAGTAACTCACACCGTACCTAGACTCCTCATCGAACAAAACAAGCAACATACAGAATTGTGAAGTGTGTAGCTACGTAGGAAACTAAAAATACAGTACATACATGTACGTTATCCAAACCCGTCACCCGTCATTCATAGCATACAAAAGGAAAGAGAAAAAAGAGTTCGAAGGGTATATATATAAGCAGAAGGAATCCAAGAGCAAGACATGTATACGAACTAAATAGACTGAATGGTATCTGTAAACCAAGGAACCACGATAATACAAGTGAGTATATAAAAAAAAACCACACAAAAGAAATCATAACGAAACCCAACTTTTTTTCCCGCCACCCCACTCGCTATATATGTTAAGGGCGCTGCCACAAAAAGAGACCGTCTGTCCTACACCTCCACTATCTCCTCCGCCCTCTTCTCCCCCCTTTTCCCCTCCTCCTTCTCCTCGACGCCCTCAATCCTCTTCACCTTCCTCCCCTCCCACCACACCATCCCCCCCGCCACCCCCGCCACAATACACGCCAGCGCCACAAACAACCCCGTGCTCCAGCTCGGCCTCTCAATGCGGTTCATGCCCCACATAAACCCACTCAGCACCGCCTGCAGAAACGTATTCCACACATACAGCCACACCACAAAATCCATCTTCCAGCTCTTTGTCGGCGGCGCCCTCTCGCCCGTCACCGTCTCCCCCTGCCCCACCTCGGCGGGAACACGGAACCACCCATCGTGGATCTGGGCGAGCCGCACCAGCGCGGCCTTCTGTCCGGCCACGCGCCACTTGAGGAGGAAGTAGAGGTCGCGGAAGCGCCATGGGATCAGGCCGAAGCCGGTGACGCAGAAGAGCGCGTTGAGGATCTGCGAGTCGATCTCGATCCAGATGCGGCGTGGGGAGTCGATGGCGTTGCAGCTGGGTTTGCACATTGCGGGCGCGGCGTTGACGAGGAGGAGGAAGAGCATGCCGCCCCAGGCGACGATGTTGAGCATGTAGATTGTGATGCAGAAGCCCTGCGTGTGTTCGCTACACGTCAGCACACGGAAGAGAGATAGCAAGGGTCGAATGGGGACTAACTAGTGGGGTTATGAAGAACTTCCAGAACGATAGCAGTCCCTGTACCGTGACCGCCCACCAGCCCGGGTTATGCTCCTTCTCCTCCTCCCCCTTCTCCACCACACCACCACCACCACCACCACCACCACCCCCATCGCCATCCTTATCCTTATCCGCCGCCGCCGCGGCGGCCCTGCCCCTCCCCAACTCCTCCTCTTCATACTCATGCTCATGTATCGGAAAGCTCCCACTCCTGCCCACCCCGCCCACGCCGGGGCTGGCAGCACTGACACTGCTCCCCCTGCGCGCCCCCATGGCAGTGCGGCTGCCGGCGCTGTTGCGACGGAGGTCTTTGAGCGAGGGTGCGGATGCGAGGGCGTCGCCGGTGGCCGCGCAGAAGCCGTAGTGCGGGTTGGCGTCGATGAGGGATTGGAGGGATGCGGTGCGTGCTCGGCGGGGGGAGGGGGAGGGGGGAGGTTGATATAGAGCGTGGAGAGTCGAGGGGGGTCGGGGGGTCGGGGGGTCGGAGGACATTTTGGGGGGCTCGCGCGGTGGCGACGTTGGGAGCTGGTGGGTGGGTGGGTGGGCGGTGTGGTGTGGTGTGGTGTGGTGTGGTGTGATGGGTGTAGGTATGTATCGTGTGTTGTGGAATGGATCAAGGGACAGACAGCTGTGAGCGAGATAAGCTTAATTCAAAGTGCACACGAGGCTGGGAAGAGATGGAGATGCTAAAGGAAGAAGAGAAGGGATTGACAGACAGACAGACAGACAGACAGACAGAGATAGATAGCAGAGCAAGGGGGATGGCTTGTAGGTATGGTGTAGAACTCCCTCTCTCCCGCTGTCCATCCTGCTAGGTGAGACACAAGACATACAGGGAAGCTGCACATCCGTCATGCTGACTCGCCCTCACCCAAAAAACAGGGATCTGTTGCATGATATCGATGATCTGGATCTAATCGTCCACGTTTCCCGCCAGCGGAGAGAGAGGGGCGCTGGGAGTACGAATACGAATACCTCGCTATCTACTGCGACGCTCCGGGACAGCCTGCACTCTACTCTACACGCTGCCTACAAAGTACACTCTAACAGCAGACAGCAGACAGCATCCACGTCCAGCTCGGCTTCCGCACACACACACACACACACCCCGAAATGGGCCTCAGGCAGAATCAACATGCGTACTCCAGAAGAGAAATATTCTCCGATTAGCATCGATGGCCGGATCCGACCCCCGGAACCGAAGCGAACACCGGCCACCGCATGGACCAAAGCGGTACTCGCATCTTAAGCAACATCGGCGGGCAGTCCGTACTCTACTCGCCAATGTCTCCTACGTCTCACCCACCGCAGTGCTCCAACTAACGCAGCCGGCCAACAATCGTTCCAGAAGAGAGAGCCTCTGTGCACGTCGTATCACTCGGCTGCTACAAGGGCGCGGTAAAATCCTTAATTCTCCAAGACGTACCCCCGGGCAGTATCCTAATCCCTTGAGAACAAAACGGGAATAGTGGCCACTCTTGTAGCAGTTAATCACAGGCATATAAAGTGGATATGTAGGATAGACATGGACGCTTGGAGGATATGTATATAATGCCGTGTCAGATACTTTGTAGCATGAGCATACCAACATGCCCAACTCAACACCTCAACCCCACCGCAAGCCAAAACCTCAGACTACTTATGTACTTGACTCTCTCCTCCCCTCCAGCAACAAAAAGGTAACCCTCCAATACCGAGACTACCAGTGAAGAGAGAAAAAAGAAAGACACAGACCAGCCCCACGCGGGGGTCGAACCCGCAACCTTGAGATTACAATAAGAGTCTCACGCTCTACCGATTGAGCTAGCGAGGCATGGAAATCTATCACTCAAGTAGATGATACCAGCCTGTGCAAAATTTCTCCAGCGCTAGTACTAGTAGCCGCTAGTTTCTTAGCGTGGTGTGAAAATTTTGCATCATGGAATGTCACCCGTGCATCAACCCCGCCAGAAGTAGAGCAGGCTACGTGATATGGGTGGATTACAGAATCAATTGAATGACCTTCTCATAGTCGCCTCTAGTGGGGGATTGTGCTCTGGGGGGAAGAGAAGGAAAGAGAATTCTCTTTCTAAGCTAGATTGAATGCCGCCTCTATAGTAGCTGGTAGTAGTACACGTCTGCCACGATATATGTGTTTAGATCTCTCAATACAATGTTAGGACGTGGCAGATACATTCAATACAGTCGCCCTCCGATGTAACGAATGCCACTATACCGAATACAAGTCGTTGCCGGCCTTCGGCCGGAGAGGATAATCCATATTTTAGTGCAATTCTGTATGAGAATATAGCCCCAGGAAGGGTATACTCAAAATTAGCAAAAATAACCTTTTAATTTTGATTTTACCTGCATTCACGTTGGTCTATTAATACTTCATCAGCAAAAAATCTCTTGCCGATTCTAACGGCTTGGGTCTGGGTTCAGGAACGACTTTGAATACGGCAGAGTTGGGACAGGTTCGAGGATGGAATCGGAGGAGGAGGAGGATCTCCAAGCAGAAGATAATACCAAAACCTACTAATTATGGAGAGAGCAAAAATCAATACCCTGATATCGTATAAAGAAAAACAAAAATTAATATAATTATAATTATATTGCTCTCAAAAAGGAAAATCAATTCAATCAGGATTATATTGTCACAAAAAAAGCAAAAATCAATACTATTACCGCCAAAACTCGAAAAATTGGCTATCTCCGGCCAGGGATTATCACTCGAGTGATTGGTTGAATGGCATCGATCTGCATCAGAAGTTTCCCATACAAGTAATTTTGATCTCTGGAAGCTAGCCAATTTTTCGAGTTATGGCGGTATATTCTACTGAGAAAATCAAATATCAATATCATGATATCATCTCAAGAAAACAATGTGCTAGCAACTCAAAAAAAGCAATCTTAATCACCAACTTCTCAAACCTAGCCAATCAAAACCTTTAAATAACACATTGCATATCGGTATATCTATATACTTATAAGATTTGCTGTACCGAACGAAAAATGGCCCAATATGCACGTTCGTTATAGCGGAGGGCGACTGTACGCAACATCTATCTGGAACATTAGTACTACATAGTACATGTAGCTAGGAACGGTAAAAAGAAAAAAGACGAACTAGAAGAAGATTCAATTTAACCCTTAGCCAAAACATAGGCCCACAGGAGTCCCGGCATTTCATCCTTAAATCATTCTTGGCTCCACACTTGTAGACAACCCTTGGAGGTGTAGTGGTCAACACGCCGGAACGCAGCACGTAGGAGACAGACATGTGAGGAGATCTTGGGCCCGGATCCAAACAGAGGGGGCGTTATCAAAAATCTTTGTCTCTCTCCCTCTTTTTTTTATTTATAGACTACCACGTATCTACGTACTTATAATCCCGCGCACTTGGTTCTATACGGAGCTGAAGCTATTTAGCGATGCGTTGACGCACGCACGCGGTAACGTACACTCTACTGATCCTGACTAGGCCTACACTTCTTCACCCTCCTCGCGCAGCAAAACGGCACCCTATTCTTTCCTAGCGGCCCTTCCCCAACCAGATCTTGGATCTCAGCGTCACTAAAGTGAAATGAATCCACCATCTCCCACTCCCCCTCCACGCCCTCGCACTTATAGCGATCCCCGACATTCCCGCCTCTAAACGCACCCGGGGACTCGTCGTCGTCGTCGTCCTTCGCCCTTCCATTCTTGACCCACCGCTTGACCCGCGGGACCGCGCGCCCCCAGGTTAGCGTGTGGTCAAAAATGCCGAAATATGGGGGCACTTTGCCCTTGATTGAGATGTCGGAGCACGACACGCCAGCGACGAGCAAGATGCCGAGGGCAGCGTCGATGCCGTCGACGATGTAGGGGAGGAAGGGATAGAACAGTGTGAGCTCGTGTTGGAGGGCGGTTTTCTTGCCGAAGCGGCAGGGGTGGAGGTAATAGGGGCCTAAGGGCAGCGTGAGGACATCTGGGTTCATGTTGTGGTTGATGGAGAGCGATTGTAGTGATTTCAAGCCTGCCAGAGATGCTGCTATTGGTTCCTAGAGAAGGGGTTTTGTCAGCATCATGGGGATCTAAACCGCTACGGAAGCAGAGTGGAGGGAGGGAGGGCGTATATCATACCAGTTCAGTGAAATCAATACCGATATGTAGCGATTCAAGCTTCTGGCACGCCGACGTCAACGTCTGGACTTCGTCGGAGGTGCAGATATGAGCAGTTTCCAAGTCCAGCTTTCTCAACGATGCCCCATGGTGTGCCACCGCAGAAACGTCAATGGTCCCTTGCCCATCCCCAGTTTGCTCACAATCCCAGCGCCAGTACAGCTCCTCAAGTCCCGAGAAAGATGCTATAAAGGACTCCGCAGAACCCATAACCGTCAGACCCCGCAGACTTTTGACCCGGCCAGTCAATGCATTGAACAGGTGGCCCGACCCCTCTATACCGCACACGGACAGATATACTAAACCAGACACATCAATCGAGCTCACAAGTGTCTTCGCTATCGGTGATGTGAACGATGGCATGTCCAACACTAGCCGCGATAGTGGGATCCCATACGGCTCGGGAAACACAGTTTCGAGCAGTTCCGGCACCTCTGCTTCGTTGACATAAGTTAGAGAGAGATGAAGCTCCCGTAAAATCTTTGCAGAGCGGGCAATAAGGGACTGCAACGAGGCAAGCTCTTTCGCCTCGTGGGGGAGCCAGTAGACTGATAGGGACTGGGTTGGTGGCGGGCCGGGGACGAATGGGATGGTATTTTGGGCTGTGAGATGGCGCAGAATTGGACGTTTTGATAAGGCCGCAGATAACCTGGGACTAAGGTGTCCTACTTCATAGCTGTTTAAGTTAGCCAAGTTTGCCACTAGCTCAAACGAAGTCTCGAGAGCCGTATTTGTATATGATGTAATCTATACATGTGGTATGTGACAAGACACTTTACAGGCAAAACAACCCAAAATACAAAATCCAGTAGTGAGAGATGAATTAAAGGTGTATTGGGCAGAATTCAGGCTAGTGTTATCAACAATTAACAGTAGATGTGATATATGTACTTACATGACGCTCTCGATGTTCTCCATACATTCCACCGCATCTTCAAGTTTCCTCCATCTCTCCAGCTCCTCGGGAGTATATGGCCGTAGCTCATGCTTAAAAAGCTGTTTATTCCGATTTTCGAGTATAGCGAGTGAGCGAACTCGGCTCGCATTAGTCGCTAAGGACTCTATGAGAGAAGAGTTGAGGTCTTTGACTGTGACGGCGGTGTAGAGAAGACGGGCAGCATGAGCGTAGAATGATTTGCAGACGCGGCAGAGTGTGGCCAAGGATTTCAGGGTTTGGTCGTTAGGGAATTGGCCGAGTGATGTGGTTATGGCGGGGTATATGTAGCTGTTGGAAGCCTAGTTTGAGTTGAGTTAGTTTTATGGATAAGTAGGTACTAGTAGAGGAGGGGCGAATGAGTACATGCGAAATTATTTCGGCGACTATCTCGCTCGGGAGTAAGTGGAACATGTTGGACGACTTCTTTGTGTAGTGATGATCGATGAGATGGAGAGTTATGAAGCAAAGTACTTCTTATAGCATTCTTCTTAGCAGTCGCACACGGCCGGTGAATGTAGCGAACGATATCCATCGCATCGTTACGAGAAGTTCAGTTCCACGCGTGCACGTGTACTGTACTGGCTAAGAATCCCTCTAGCTAGCCCGGCGGGAAACGTTACACATGTAACTCCTAGCTCACGCCGTTACATCGAGAGCAAACACCGGTCGAAGTACTGCCTGATTACTAATAGCCATGACCCCGCGGCTATTTATGGATGCAGCCCCTGATGCCAAATACCTATGGCGGCGGGGCGGCAAAGACGCAGGAGAGAAGCCGACTTTTGCCGGTTATCACGGTCGCGAAAGTAGAAGCTCGGAAAGTATTTACGTGACAATAGCTTAGTTAATGACTGAAAGCGAGTGCTCGCTCATGATCAGGCACGAGAAAGTGGTGTTCTGGTAACTCAATTGATCAAGCAACGTTAAGTAATTTATACCTGAGATTGTCGGGACCAGATATCCGGACAACATCTTGCTTAAAGACACATACCATATGTAATTGTGTTGGCCAAAAGTCGGAAACCGAGTGCTCACTCGTGATGGTACAATCAGCATCAAGTAATCACAACACAGAGCTCAAAACAAATTTAAACAAACAAATAATAGAAGCAATCACCGTAACGACTCTCTTCATCATCTCACTTAGTTAGGGCCGAAATACACAAATTCATACAAAACACCTCTCTCTCTCGTAATCCCTTCCCCCGCGAAACCCCACCGGGCATCCTTTTACCCCAAGTTCTTTTTTGAGGCTCCATATATCGGCGATCATATAGTACGGTACGAGGTATACCTCTATCATATCGGCGGCGGTTGGGGGTTCTACGTAACGTCGACTCATACCCCATAGGCCCCCTTCTTCACCTGGAAACTCACCGGTCATGCTGTTTTCTCCCCACCCGCAATACGATAACAGAGCCATTCCCTCGCTAAAGCTTCTGCAGACCGACAGCATCTCGAGTGGTGGTGGTGGTGGTGGCGGTGGTGGGCCAGGGTTGTTGATTACCGAGAGGACAATTAATATAATATGCTCCTGCCCAACCCGGGATAGTCGATAGTCTAAATATGCATCCCTGTAGAACAGATATTTTCAGCTTTGCATGATGATCAAAAATCCCTATAGCTAAGACCTACCGAGCGCTGTGCCACCCGCCGTCACAACTTCTGCCACTGCTCCCCCGCGACGCCGAGCCGACTAATCGGCCCGTATTCGTAGTAGAACTATAGTGCGAACTAGCTACTAGGGCGTAGTTCTTCGGACTTTGTACCAGTATGTACAGCTACTCTGCAAAAGTGTTCGTGATTCCGATTTCGGAGTGAGACATTTCTCCATATGTAACCGCGGCGGACCATCAAGAACCCCCAAAGAGAAGACTTTCCCAGTGACCAATGGCGCCCAAATTAAGAATAAGATCAATGGCCTATCTTCTTTTTATATATAGTCACAAACTATATTATATATTTTTCGTTATTTTGAATCTCAACTTTAATTTAATAGCATCAGTATTACGGGTGCGCCACACTGCGCACTGACATTAAAACCATATCACGAACACTTTTGCTGAGTGGCTGTAGGTACAGCATGTGGACAGTGGGATAATGGTGTATAGTACTAGCCCAACCACACATATCGCAGCCCAAAGAACAAAAAAACAAAAAAACGAGTGCTCAATCATGCTCCAGTGACATGTCTCAGCCACCCATTTCCACAACCAGCCGGTTCTACCTAAAATAGCACCTAAACTAATCGCCATCTCTAACGCCCCTGCCGGATATCTATTTCTATTTCCATCCATGCATCCCCACCATGATTAATACCGTATTGTACCTTACACGTTGCGTCCACCCTACTTCGGACTGTGTGACAAAGAATATACATGTATCTCTCTACCCATACTATCTAAATTAGCGAGCAAGCACCGCTTCACCGGGCGCACAAAACATGACCCATGCGTCCCCGCGCGCCGCACCGCAGTAGCGAACAAATTGAGAAAACTCTCCAGCAGCCACCGGTCGGCACTCTTATTCCGCAGCATCCACTAGGACTTTTAAATCATGTGCAGTCAGCAGCCTTACCAACAGCTAGGCCGAGTTTTGAGTGTGCCCGGTTTTCGGTAAGGCGGTTAGCGAGAGACAGCCAGCGCAAATTGTAAGGAGAGTACACAGCTGGGTCGAGGAGAGAAGAATTGTGCATTTGAAGATGGATTAAAGATGAGTGAAGATACTGAAGTGGAAATGTTCCGGCTCTGCTCAAAGAGAAAAGGAAAACGGCGTCTATAGGGCGGTCGTGAAGAGCTAGAGGTTGATGTTGCAGTTTAATCGAATAGCTAGGATTGTTCCATAAACAGATGTAAAGATAAATGTAGACCCATGACAGGCGGCGCAGATATCAAAATAAGAAACTACCTACTACCTAGCGGATCGACCCTAAGTACTCTAGTTCCACACGTGTAAAGTTTAGATATCACTTTATTCTCCGCCGCAACATATCCCCGTCACCGGGAACACATACAACTAAACAAGAAAGAGAAGGTACCGACCTGGCTCTATAGCAATTATTCATCTTTTCATTATGTCTTCCTCAGTAATCACTACCACTTTTGCTGTAGACCAGGGCGGTGTTCCGGTGGGATAGCTTGATGGAGACCTTCATGAAGAATTAGTATACTGGACAAACTATGTATTTAAGGGCCGTCAATGTCCCACAACTTCAAATCAGCAAGCCGGTCTTCACTCACTACATTCACTCACTACAGTCAATAACCACTTACCAACACATTCATTCCTTTTTTTTCCCCATCTTCTTATTCCAGTCCAATTCATATTTCAATCTTTCCGGCTTCCAGACACCCTCAAAAGTCTCTCTCTCACAACTCAAATTACAACATCAAAACCTTCCTCTTCCACCACTTCTAGCTTCTTCAGACACCCAATCAATATGTTGGCCCCATCTCCCTCCTTCAGCACCCTCATCCAGGGATTCCTCCTCCTCTCCACCCTCTTCGCAACAGCCCACGCAACAAACGTCTGGGCAACCGCCCCCAATACCGCCGTCTTCTACTGCGGCGAGGACGGCAAACGAGGAACACAGACGGGAGCAAAGGCCACGAAGTGGGCCATGGGGGCCGCAAAAAAATCAATGTACGCCACCGGGCGCCCCGAATACCAAAACATGAAGACTGTCGGCATGGTCCAGCTGGCCAACAAGCAGCCTAAAGTCGGGGCCGCCGAATCAAAGCTGTTTGCCGAGGGGGCCTCGGGCGTCGTCAGACTCTTCGAGGACAAACTGAACGCGGATGGCATGAATGGCGTGTGGAAGCAGCAAGAGGAGCCTGCTTTGTTGAGGAACGCAGCGGTCACAGCCCTGCACGTCTTGAACCCCGACGACCCGGACATGGAGTTCATCGTCTGGGAGCGCAAGAACGGTCAGATCGTCTACAAGGACCCAAAGTACAAGACTACCGGACTCCCTATCTCGAGATTGGAGGATTTCGATCTTGTTTGGCAGCCAGCTTCTCCTCCAGGCTCGCCAAGTCGAGCAGGAAGCCCAAGTCGAGCGGGAAGCCCAAGTCGAGCGGGAAGCCCAAAAGCAGCAAGCCCAAAAGCAGCAAGCCCCCCAAAGGCGGGAAGCCCTTCAAGAAGCTCATCAAAGAGCCCAACCAGGAGCACCGGGCGCAAGGTCAGGAGATCTAGACAGTTCTAAGTGTGAGGAGGGCAAGGGGAGGCTTTTGTGAACAATCTGTATGCATTGGGACGGCGCTAGTTTTTTGGTTGTTTTTGTTCCTTGTTTCTTTTGTTGAGATAGATTGCGGGTCATTGGGCTTTTGAACATATATAGAGGTTTATACATATCTGTTTTGAGTCAGTTTGGAAATATCGCAATAGAAGATCAGTCTTGAAAATCGTTTCATCTCGTTCTAGTCCGTGTTCTGCATCGAATCTAACCGAAATAATAATTAGCTAAGGGATTGGTAAGAGTATCCTTAAGGATATAAATAAGAGTAGATACTTGTGGCTGGCGTCTGACACTTTTTTATTTTTATTTTTACCTGTACCCTTGATGCGTATCAGCTTGTCTTGACATAGCCGCTCGTATCTCCATTGTCTTCCTCTGACTTAACCACGTCTAGTATGAACACTACATGTAATTATCATGTATGATCTTCTGATTTTATTTAAGCAGCCACGTATTGTAACTGGTACGTATCCTTTCAGCTTCCCCGAAGCTACAGCCATCCGGGGCGTGGTGTGCAACGTTGCTGCGTTAGCGCCGCGTCTTCCTCCCCATCCACCGAAAAGCCAAGCATCAATGAGCATAGGCCATGTCGGTTCATTTCCAGACTAATATTTGATTAGCCATTGCCTCTGTGCGGATGTCCAAGACCACGTAGATGAGGGCGTACCAACACAAACCTCTTGCTTCCGCTGATGGTTATCAGGCAACACAGAAAGGTAACTAGATCGGAACAACACATTACACCTAAATCTTATGACATACAGAGGTGTACAGACAGAATTAACTCCTAGAGCCTGCAGAGGGTAAGAGCACCTTCTTCGGCGGAAAACTAGTGCGAGTGATATTCCATGATCACAAAGTCATTAGGCCCGGTGTAAGTGAGTAGTAGATATACTCCTCGAGGTTATATCGGCATGCTCCCATAAGCACATTATGCTGGGACAATGTAGAATTCGAAGAGATGGAAAATGAAGAGGTGCTGTGTCGGTTCCTCAAGCCGTTGGTTGATATACTAGATAGACTAGGCGGCCAAGCCTGATTATGTTTATGTCTTGGCAGCGAATCCAATCTGTTCTTTTGGTTAAAACACAAGTGGAGTATCAAATCCTTACGGAGTTACAAGTACATACTTAAAATGTATGACCATGGGTCCAATGGGCGAGCGTATACTTGAATTGTTAATAAATATATAAATAAAAATAACTACCAAGAAGCAAGTATGTACGTGGAATAGATTTCAACCCTTCCAATCTCAACGCAACAGAGGATAAGATCTTTAATTAGGGGATACGGAATTTAGGCTAAAATCTTTCGTAGAGAGAGAGAGAGAAGTGACAGCCGATTTTATGTTACATGGTTTAAGCCTTTGGGGGTAAATGCAATCTGACCGAAGCGAAGAGTACTTTGAATCTCAAGTTCTTTCCAGTAGATGTAAGACCCAAGGACGCTCAAAGTGTTATTCAAAAGAAAAAGAGATGACAATAGTAACCCTCGACAGATTTGCTACTAATGACAAGGTGAAGTGATTCAGTTCCATTCTCAATGAAGCCCGTCGAACCCGCAACCTTGAGATACCATTTAAAAGCCTCACGCTCTACCGATTGAGCTAGCGAAGCATATATAAATTCACTATTGTGAATAAAAGAAGCAAGATTGAGGTTTGCTCTAGTCACTGTCCCCGGAGGCTGAAAAATTTTTCTTAGCACAACCGACACCCCAACAAATTAAGCTAACGAAACCCTCCACGCCCCAGCAACTTCAATCTACAAAGACAGACACTCTCTCATGCCTTGCTAGCTCAATCGGTAGAGCGTAAGACTCTTAAACGGTATCTCAAGGTTGCGGGTTCGACCCCCGCGTGGGGCTTCATTGAAGCTCATAACATATTTTTGCAGCTTTTTGTTTAGTGCAAAGAAAGGCGTAATGTATGAAGCCACTAGTTTTATTTTTGAGTGACCATAAAAAACCTAAGGAAACTTACTTTTGGCAGACATTCTTCCTGGTTCATCTTTGTTCATTTATGAGAATTGAAATCTCCCTCGGCGCCGGCATAGCAAAAGCACGTACTAGGATGAACATTTGCGCAAATGAGCTATAAGTTCATGCTTGGTACCTGATTGGTGAGCGGAGATCGGCACCAATCAGATTGCCAGGAGATATAGCTCCGCAAAGGCTCATTAAAGTAGAGTACTCCACATTCCTCTACCCCGTGTACAAGGGTCTGGCATTAAGTGAGTGAACTAAATGGGTGTTGACTGGTGAGGATCCGTTCACTCACTTAATCCCAGAGCCTTGTACATATGCAATGCGCCCTAGGCCTACGTACTGGGGACAGAATAAAAGGACTTCCACATGCAAGACATGACACCTGGCAGAGATGGTAAGTCAGCAGTCTCATATGATCACTCTTGGAGTACATAATACCGACGTGGTATAGGAAATCGATATGTGTATACGAGGTACAGACATGTGCTTGTAAGTTGTTGCAGGTAGTACTGGGTCTGAGGGTTCGATAAGATTGAGACTGCTGTGTCGGTAATTTGCTGGGGTATACCAGATAGAGTATTATTTTCAAGGATTCTGATTTAATTCAGCGCCTTTGTATTATATTATGTAGATTACTGCACACAGGTAGTAGGTGCTTCCGTGCTTAGACCGTCGTTGACCCTGGTGTTTGATCATGTGTCTCTGTGGAATTGTAGTCTGACTGGGTGCAAAACATCGCGACGGCTGCAGTAGGGGGGGGGACTTAACTTGGAGGCAAGTAAGTTGATCAATTGAGACAATGTTGATACGGATTGGCAAACCTAACCCTGCGGCTGCCTGTGAGATATATTTACCCCTGTCCTCTAATAATTTTACCGCGGACTACGGAGCTTATTAATTATCTTCAGTCTTAGAAGTGATACATGTCGGGGTCTTAGGTAGTACGCTGGTGGAATAGTGTCAGGCAGGGCGGGGAAGGTTTAAGAAAGGGAGAGAACCACATATGTGACAAGTTTGTGGAACTGTGGATTGAATAGGGGGAATCGTGGGCATGTGTTTTTACCTCTATGCTAAAGCAGTATTCAATCTGGAGTATACATCTGACAGCCGCACCTAAACCAAAAATGCCCGGTACTGAACCTCCATGATATTAAACCGCGCTAGTCGAATGGCGCCCTAGCCAGGCTGCCTAGCACACATCCGGCTATTAGGAAACCACAATAAAACGATTCCAAAATAGTAGAAAAAAGCATAAAACCATAAACCACAGTCAGAAAAGCAATTTTCTAGTATCTCACATGAAGTCTCCACTTATTCGCCGATGACGTATGTACAACCTTCGTCTCCAATCCAAACTTCGTGCATCACGCCTTTTCCCACGTCGATTCTACCCCCAGGGCCAAAGGTCTCCTTCTTATCCGGTGCTTGGGGATCTTCTGGGTAGCGAATTGTGAGTTGTCCGCTCACAATCAGGTGGGTGGTCAGTGCGTTGTGTTTATGTGGTGGATAGTGGTAGTTGCTGCATGCTAGCAGTTAGCCAAGGAGACTGGAAAGATGCAAAGAGAGGGAGGCGATTTACGGCGAGTCTGTCCATGTGAATACTTCTTTAAAGCCCCAAGAGCGGACTTCAGTCTCGAATGAGGATCTAGCCATTGCGTGAGGAGCGGTGTTTGTGGTGAGGTTGATGGAAACAGATGGGAAGTCGAAACCTGTAGTGGCCACGGGAGTTTAAATTGAGGCTAAAATGACTGAATACGATGTAGCTCGCTAAAAACATTTATTATCACTCTGCGAATCAAGCTAGAGTACAGTATCTATCTATCCTAGATGTGGGTAACAGGACACCACTTTTTCCCTTTAAACTCCAACAAAGCACAACTATCAATTATCCTCTTATTATTTCGATACATCGCATAACATCCCCATCTCTGCCCAGCGAGCAGCATATTCCCCAGCTCCTCCGAAAGAACCAAATCCGAAAACAACGTCACAACCTCCACTTCGGAATTTTCCTTGTCCCGATAAATAAGGATTTCCACCCACGGTCCATCAAGGGCCATTCTGATGCGGAGCTTTTCAATCTTGTCCATTCCGTACTCGGCTAAGCTCTCGTACATCAGAGTAGCGCAGTATACCTGCATGTCACGAAGGGTTTGCACCAACCCTTGATGGCGTTTTTCCTTTGGTGTCACACGTAATACTCGCACTTGTTCAATCTTATTCAAGCACGTTACATGATCGAGACTATCGTTTCCAAAGGGTGGAGTTGGTTCAAAAAGATGTTTATACCCCGGCACCGACAATTGTGGGTATGATATGAGCATTTGATCATGTACATCTGCTGCAAGCTCCTCGAAGGCTTGTTGCTGAACAGTCGCAAATTTAGCACGCACCTGGTTTCGCTTGTGTGAGTATTCGTCAACGGGTTCAAGATGGCTTGTCAAAACATGACCATCTGGAGAGCGGGTATTCCGGCGGGTAATTTCGTCGGTGAAGTCTGTGATGAGCTCATTAAATTGGGTTTTTGAGAGAAGCATCAGTTTTTTCTCGCGATTGACATTGGTGTTTTGAGTTGCTCTCGTTTCGAGAAATTCGGAAAGGATATTGAAACTGCTCGGTAGGCTGCCTCGAAGGTCAACAAATGAGTCGGGGGTGATGCCAAGGTCCAGATCTACGGTTTTAAGATGGGGTAGAGTTGAGAGGTGATGAATATAGGTTGACTGTGATATTGTCGTGAGTAAACCTTTAGTTTAGGAATGAAAATATAGGCGAGTAGTCTTACAAAAAGCTGGCTGGATGTCATAGTTCCATCGTATTTACCCACCAACGCACCACCCCCAAGCGCATCATCAACAACCACCTCTTCATCAGGAAGTTCGCCCATTCTTGCAATCTCACTCTTTGTTCTCAAGCGGCTGTAACGAATCACTTCAAGCTTCGGTAGACCTTGAAGCACACAGCTCGCACTGAACAGTTTTGGAAACTGTAGCTCAGCTGCTTCACACCGTAATCCTATATGTATAGTTTGTAAACTAGGCATCACGACAGAGTATAACATTCGGTAGTAAGAGTCCTGGTGACAGTTGCGGTCTAGAGAAAACAACGTCAAAGTCTTGAGGTTCGGGAATTCGTGCACCTCAACACTCCTTGGCGAAAAGTAGTGTGAAGAAGTAGAGAACTTCATACGTTGGACAAGCTTGAGTTTATAATCCCCCCTGCATGCTCAAATATATCTAGTGAGTTATCGAGTAAGATTTTGAGGGTAGAGCCAGGACTTACTTGGGAAATGTAACACCATTGACATGTCGAACAGCTGCCTCCGATACCGCTGCATTGGTACCGTAACCGCTGATGATGACAGTTTCGTACAGCACCGGGAGTGCAAGAGCATTCCAACGATAGTTCACACGGGTCATCGAGTTTATGTCAGATAGGTGCAATAGTTCGAGTATCTGCAGTAATATCTCCGTTGGAAGCTTGCTTATTGGGCATGACTGTTTAATCGTGCATCGTGAGTCCCCACAAGTGGTGACGGTGTTGTTCCATTGTTGTTGAGATACTATTCGGGTAGAGATTGGAGATCTCTGAAAGGGGGATTCCATCATGGTGTACTATAAGACACAGTATTGTATCTAAGGTGAAGCTTAGGAACTTGACAGGTGAGATTCAATTATTGAATATAAGCGTGAATGTGCGCTAATCCGACTAAGACGTTGGATTGAAAACTAAATTTCTAAAGGAGAAGGAGGACAGGTATCCACAGACTTATATAGGAGACCTTAGGGCTGGAAAAGATTTGTGTCTACCTCAAATAACCGCTCGGTAGGGCGGCCTCGCGGGTACTGTCTCACTGGACGCAGAGAAACCGTCGCAGCAGAGCAGCCGCACCACCGTGATTCTCCCCCCAGAATTATGCAGTCGACCAATAAGCAATCCTGCCAAGTTCTGTTATACGTCAAAGCGTTCTTATATTGCGAAGATATGCACCGAGGGCCGCCCCGGAGAGTGGTTGCGATTCAAGCATTAAGGAATTCTGGGGGCCCTTGATAATTTAAGCGAATATACATTCCCTACTGACTGTTCGGATGCTTCTATAGCCGCTGATATCTAAGCACATTATGTAGGCATGGAAACGTCTCTGACTGGACTTTTGCGCTTTCTCGCAATTAAACGAGATCGAGGAAGCGAGATATAAATCTCATGCTCAATATGCAATTACTCAGCTGCTGGCTGCCTCGGGTGAATGGCTTCTTTGAATTCTTATGCTCTCGACCGTGCACCTTAGTGCATGATTTGCGAATCTAGGCCTGACTAATAATCCATAAAACTTAAAAAAAAAAAAAGAGTTATGTACTCTATAGTATATATGGACATACATTTTATCAGGAAAGAGTAAGGGTTCAATTCAACTCAAAAATTGATGTGATGTCGGTTACATGTAGCTGCTCGCTCAAGTACATCCCGGTGTCTCGGAAACCTACACATATCACAAAGTAGAGATGATCAAGAATCGATATGGGCCGAACATGGATAACCCAAGTGGCATTCTTACTGCACTTATGTGCCGAGTGACTAGTGGTGACTTCCGAGCGCGCCGCATGCATGTCACACATCCAATCAACCAAGAACTACACCCGTTATATGAAATCAGCTAATGATAGTATACGTATCCATCCTTCTCTTCCGCTATTCATTTATTTTTTGAAAATAACCACCAAAACCTTGCGTGGCAACCAACATTCCCCACCAAAAACTCTGTAAAACTCAGGCTTCAAAATGCCAAGCCCCACCCCTGACATGACCAAGGCCCTGGACGCCCTTGGAATTGGCAACCTCGACCAAGAACTTGTAGGCATAGCCAACAATACCGCCCTCTCCGCCCTCACCATCGCCATCCTGGCCAACCCCAACACCTCGGACGAAACCAGACTCGTCATCACCCTCCTGTGCGGCATCGCCAAACAAAACGCAACCATGGCAGGCGATATCGCCTCCCTCCAACAGGACCACGAAGACCTCCAAGAGGAGGTCCGCCGCCACCAGCGCTCCCCCGACCCCCGCATCCTCAACCGCCTCGATAACATCAACTCCCAACTCCGCAGCACCCAGGCCCCCACAGCCCCCCCTGCCCCCCCCCCAGCCCCAAAAGTAACCACCACCCACCCTGCCCCCCCAACCCCAGACCCTCCTCCTACGCCGACGCCATCAGATCGGCAACAACCCCTCCCGCACAACCAACTAGGCCACAAAGACGACGCGGGAAAAGGAACGAAAAGGCTGCAGGATCTCCCCCAAGGACGCACCCCTTCCGACCTATAAACGCCGGTTTTTCGCCACAAAGACCACACCCACCCTCATCCCCGATTCCGACCGCCTAACAGCTGAACTCCCCGTCCTCTTTGGGCAGTTCCTAGCGAGACAAGGCCTCGTCGCCCCTGCCACCGCCCTCTCAGTCACCATCAATGCTAAAGGCACAGTAACCATTCTCGCGGCCCCGACAGTCTCGAACTCCACCTTCGCCCCCTTCTATGACAGCCTCACCGCTATACTCAACCAAAAAATCCCCACCCCGACAACCCATACACCTCCTTCCGCCCCGCGCCTGACACCATCGACGTCGCCGTACACGGGGTCCCCCTATACAGCATCCGCGACAAACCCACGCTACAAGCCACCTTCCCCGAAGCCGTCCGTCTAGCCACAGGCATCACCCCTCATCCTGCAGATTCCTCGTCGCCGATGATACAAGCCGCAATGCCAAAACCTCCTCCACCATCGTTATCAGTGTCTCCCGCTCCGAAGCCGGCGTCATCGGTACAACCATACGCCTCTTCTCACGTCCCCGCCGGTGCGCCATCATGTGGTCAGCCTCAGCAGGAACCCAATGCTCCCACTGCTACAAGTTCGGCCACGTCATCAAAGGATGCAAGCAAGAACTCCCAACCTGCCCCTACTGCACTCTCTCCCACACCAAAGCAGAACACCGCTGCCCCGTCCCAAGCTGCCAGGGATATAACATATCAACAATGGACTGCTGCGATGTCTCACAGTCCAAATGCTCTAACTGCGGAGGCCCTCACCCAGCCTTCGTATCCTCCTGCCCGCACAAACTCGCCCTCCAGAGACAAGACTCGGCCAATAACGGTATGAGAGACGGAGGCCGGATCTTCGCCCCAATTGGCTCCCCATCCACTCACCCCGACGAAGAAGTCACCGAGATTCCCCAGACCTCGGTGACGGAGATGGACCTCAACAACGCCTAAATGTTAGGAGACCTCAACAGTCCCCCGACACCATTTCTACGCATCATACAACATAATTGCGCTGGGAGCAATAATGTCTTCATATCCCTCTTCTCCTCCCTCGCAGTCTCGAAAGCCCACGTTATCGCGATTCAAGAACCCCCCTTATTCAAAGGAAAACCCCTCAACGCCCCCTCATTCACACTGTACTCCCCCTCCCCATCCAACGCAGAAGACAAGATATCCACCTGCACCTACGTCTCCAATCACCTCCTCGAACGCAACTCAGCAACAGCTACCCCCTCCCACAGAGGAGACCTCATCTCAGTCAACCTTTTCCTACCAACCTCCCCAAACTCCCACTCCACCTTCACGATAACCAATATTTATAACAGACAGTTATCCAACTCCTCGAGATCGATCAGCCCGATTGAAATCTTCACCCATACCCCCAACCCCCTCATCATAGTGGGGGATTTCAACATCCACTCCCCTGCAGCGGACCCCATGAGGAACTTCTCCGACGGGGAACTTCGCCTCTCAGGGCCATACATCCATTCCGCCACAACCAACAACTTCTCACTCCTAAACTACCCAGGCACCTACACCCGTCTCTCCCCGGACCCCCGGAAAAGACACGGAGTAATCGATCTCGCCTTTGCGAACGCAAGAGCCACCTCCCTATTCAACAAATGGCAACCCCTCCCCGAAGCCACCGGCTCCGACCACAGAGCCATCGCCATTGCCTTCGCCCTCCCCAACACTGACTTCACACCCATTATCGGCCCCAACTGGAAACTCACAAACTGGCCAAGCCTCCAACCCGCCCTCCAGAACTTCACAGTCCCCAGCCCCAACCCTTCGACAAGCCTCGACGATTGGTTCGAACAATCGCTGCAAAAACTTACAGATACCCTAAAGAGCCACACCCCCTCCAAAACAATCACCAAATGGTCGAAACCATGGTGGAACCCCAACATATCCCAACTCCGCACAATCTACCACTCCGTCCACCGCGACTTCAGAAGAGGCCTCAGCCCCCCCTTCGAAGTCAAAGCGGCGAAGAATGCCTACTTCAATGCAATCAAAAACGCAAAACGCACCCACTGGAACTCCTTCGTGTCCAATGCGGCCACCAGCGATGTCTGGAAACTTAAAAGAATGGCAACAAGAACAGAAGACAGAGTCCCATCCCTCCCCAACTCCCCCACCCCCGCACTACTAAACCAGAATCTCGTCAAAGCATTTTTCCCGCCCAGACCAGACACTGGCTCTCCCCCCCCCTTAACTTCGCTCACGTCCCGGACATCACCCCCGAGGAAGTAAGAACCACCCTCCTCCCCACCTCTAACCTCTCTGCCCCGGGCCCAGACACCATCCCCTATTCAGTATGGAAAGGGGTCCATAAAGCCAACCCACACATCATCCCAGCGCTCCTAAACCCACTCCTGAAAAGCGGCTATCACCCCCTCTCCCTCAAAAGGGCAAACGGAGTTATTCTGGCAAAACCGAACAAAGCCGACTATACACTTCCCACCTCCTACAGAATAATCGTCCTCCTCCAAACCTTTTCCAAAATACTCGAAAAGATCGTTACCCTTCGCCTCGCATCTATCGCCAAAGCGGTAGGCCTCATCCACCCCCACCAATGCGGATCAGTAGCCGGCCTGTCCACGGCAGACGCGGTCACCACCCTCCTCCATGAGACCAAAGCCATGCAACACGCTAAGCTAAAAGTCTCCACCCTATTCCTCGATATCAAAGGCGGCTTCGATAATGTCGTCAAACACACCCTTGCATCCACCCTCGCGGCCAAAGCCACCCCCCCATACATCATCAACTGGGTCCTGTCATTCCTCTCCGACAGGCATATCACCCTCCTCTTCAAAGGCTCCCCGAGAATCCCAACCCCCGTTCAAGTCGGAGTTCCCCAAGGCTCCCCCATATCACCCCTCCTCTTCGTCATATACATGAACATCTTCCACCTACACGACCCCTCCCCAGGACTCACCCTATCCTACGTCGATGACTTCGCAGTGACCGTGGGCTCCCCCAGCTACCAACAAAACATCCACATCCTCGAGGAACACTTCAAGGCGATCACAGCCATCACGGCCGCCCAGAACACCACCTTCTCAGTCCCCAAAACCGAACTCATGCACTGGCGTACCCCCAAAGACAAGGGGCCGATCTGCACACTCCCCATCACCCTCGATAACCAGATCTTCCACCCAGGCCATCAAGTCGGATGGGTCGGATTCTGGCTATCCCCAAACTTCAACCCAAACACCCACTTTATCCGCCGCCTAGCCTCCGCCCAAGCCAGCTTCGGGATCCTCCAGAGATTCTCCTCCCCTGGCAAAGGCCTCTCCTCATCCAACTGCAGGAAAATCGCCCTGCTTGCCATCCGCCCAATGCTCACATACGGCGCATCCGTCCTAACACCCACCAGCTCCATTAAGGCAATGAATAAATTCTGGAACTCAGTCCTCAGATGGGCCACCGGCTGCTTCAGGGCAACCAACCAACGCGTCCTCTGGGCCGAGGCACACTGCCCCCCACTCATCAACTACATCCACTACCTGAAAACAAAGTTCGCCATCCGCGTCCTTCTCGCCCACCCCCTCAACAATCCAGTGACAGGGCGCTGCCACCCCTCCTTCCCCACACTGACCCCCGACAGGGTCCCCTCCCACACAATCCTCCTCCGCGGCCGCCCCAACCCACCTAAGAAGTGGAACTCCACGGCAACAAAGGGAGTGGCCCACCTCCCCATCGAACATCTTTGCCACCTCCTCCAACATCCAGTCACAAGAGGAACAGATCACAAACTCCTCCCAAAGCTAGCAAAACAACAAATGCTAGACAATTGGGCACACGACTTCCCAACACCCCCCTACTACTCCTTCCCCCTCACCACAAGCCCTGAACCCTTCATGGACTTACATAAATTCACGGCTACTCGAATCCACCAAATGAGAGCCCAAAAAAGCTACCTCAGAGGCCACAAATCTTGGCTCAACCTCCACCTCTCCGAAAAGTGCGACAGATGCGGTGAAGCCCCTGAAACCACCGAACACGCCATCCTCCTCTGCCGAGCGAAAGCAATCCAACGCGCCCAACTCCTCCCAGGAATCAAAACCCTCGAGGAGATCTGGAGTGACCACACCAACACGCTAGCTCTAGGAGCCTTCATCACCGCCACCAAAACGAACTTCCCCAGAAAGGAACACATCTCCCCCCTCCTTTCTGGATCTGAGACATCAAGTGCCCTCAGCTCTCCCCCCTCCACCACCTAGCCACTGCAAAAGCCAACCCAAATCAGGGCACTCCACACCCACAAAAGACCCTCAAGGGGCAACAGGTTATTTGAAACCAGCAGGAAGATTTCTTATGTCGGATATGGGCCGCCAAAGCGTCAGTTTTTCCTTGCAGTCACTAAGTCAGTTTGTTAGTTTGTCTTGCGTCCTGTTTTTCTCATTGTTTTCCTTTGTTCATCTGGGGTCGTGAATTTCAGTTTTCAAGTCGGGGAGAGGTATTTTTATGCCATAGTCTAAGACTGCATGCAGAGTTTTGTACCTAGAATCAATTAAAACTACATGATATAAAAAAAAAAAAAAAAAAAAGATAGTATACGTATCTAGGTAGTCCAAGACTCCAAGGATGGCATTTTTAAATCAGGACCTCGTCTCATTACAGGGGGTTTCTGTTTCGGAGTCCCAGTGATCATGAACACCCGACCACTACATGTAACCAAGTACCCCAGATCCACGCCAGAAAGAGATAATTGTTGATCACCCGCTTAATCAAGTTCGGGTCTGGAGACTTTATTGATGGCTGCCGCGAGGATCCGGAGACTTTGATATCTGCCGCGAGCTATAGCACTACTTAGAGTACCCACAGAGCAGCATAGTTAGATCTATAGGCGAAAAAGAAAAGAAAGAGAAAAAATTTGCCTCTCAAAATTACATCCACTAGGGGCACCCATAAGCCCTTGTACTGTTCCTCCCTCTGATCGATGTGATGAAGGTATTTTCCTACATCTGGCCTACCCGAGGGTCAAACCTTGTAGGGATCCTTTATGCATAGGTACATGTATAGAGTAGAGTACCTCAGGCGTAAGCGCAAGAGGTTCCCGAGCCACTGGAGCCGGAACAGCGCCACCACAATTGCGATAACAAATTTACCAACGGGTCTAGGTAGTACCGGGTGTTGAGGGTAAGTGATCAGAATCTGATAAGTGAATGCTGCGGTGAATACGTGTATTTTTTCTTATCAGATTCTGATCACTTTTCGATATACCCTAGTACAGTGAGAATCGCACGATGGTTAGTAAGTATCTACCAAGCCTCGAATGAACAACCGAGTCAGAATATTGTGTTTCGAAATACTTCATTTTTCTTAACGAATACTTGTAATAAAACCTACGCAACGATTCACAGTGAAAATTAAACAATCAAAACAACAAAAATGAAGAGTACATCTGGGCACCAGGTTCTCTTGGGAATAAATAAACCTCCCCTCCGCCCCCCTCCTCCCATGTGGTAATGAATCTAGGGATTTCAATCGACTCATCCCGAAATCCAATTCCAGGTCAAGACAGCTTCCATCTTCCCCAGAAAGGGGAGTTTTGTGAATCGGCACTGAACCGGTACAGGAGGTGCCTGTGAAGTCTTGAATAGAATTTGTCGTCAGTATCAGTAACAAACTTGATTGGCGGTCGGACTGATTGACTTACCTTTCGAATTCCCTCTCTAGATCTCCATGCGTCAACAGTGAAAATGATGTAAGCCCCGAGCGCGAGTATGAATAACGGCAGGACGATGCTGAGGAATATCCATGTCAAGGCTGTGCCACACCATGCTTGCAGCGATGGCACTATTGTCGAGTTCAGACTACATATATACCACTGATCAGCAGCCGGCGCCTTGTGACGATCGAGGTTGTATCAAAGCTTAAGCGCTTACAATTCAATAGTCGAGACCTCTACGACCTGCGATGCTAGACTTGATACCATCGTTTCCTTTCTCTTCGCCGTATGTCTGCGTTAATGAGGCTGCTTGGAGGTTTGATGATCAAAAGAGGGGTAGTCTGTTAAGTATAGAGTAGGAGTAGGTAAGTCGCAAAAGGAAGTTGTGCGTCTTGATAAGGCCTCCCGTCGATTTTGCAATACGCACGCAATTGGACGCGGGTGTTGCCATGCGGGTTCAAGAGGTTGTGCCATTGGAGCCTCATAGTATGTAGATAGGATAGTTGTCGATAGATGAACTTTTTAATCTCAAATGAAAAGTCATAACTTTGTGAGCTTCCACATGCACAAGGTGTATATATACTAAGTGATCATGGTATACCTATAGAACTTAGATATATAGATAAACCCTATAATATCTTTGCTCGGGGATTGGTAACACATGCTATAACTGGTTGTAATTACTATGTACTAGAAGACATCGTAAAGTGGTGCTTAGAGTCGGTACCGGTGAAAGAGATTTGCCGCGGTGGGAGATAGTAGTATATTGTAGTGAAGTGGTAGAGGGAAAGGTATAATACGTATGCTATATTCGCAAGGGAAGAGAAAAACGTACATGCATAGATTACTTGCAATTAAATAAACTCAAGTGCATTCAAGTAGCACAGAGAGGGCAGAAACTCTAATTAAGCAGTAACAGGGATGTCGCGGAACGTGGTTAGTCAGGAATTCCATCCCATCCAACAACACCTTCGGTGCTTATAATATAATTCTTCTGTGAGAGTGGTGAGTGTAGTTTATCTATTTCGTACACATTAGTTTAGAACCTTTCTATCTATCACACTTTCTACACTAAATCGCTTGATTTGGTGGTCTGTAGAATATCTGGTTTCGACGAGGATATGGACGCGATTGGAGCCATTCGGTATTAGAGGATAACTGATTAAATTAAGGTTTACACAAGGTTAAAATATCCCCCTTCAAACCCTAGTGAGCCTTAATTCTGCTGAGATTAAGGACCATAGACAGGAAATGATGCCTGGCTACCTGCATTTCAGGATCGTCGCCACTAAATCGATGAGCGAGATTCCGAGTGATAATTTATGCGAATTCAGTCCAGTAGTCTCCACCACTGAAGAAAGTCACATATGTTTAGCCGCCCCCACTCAGGTGCTATGAAATAAACACTTCTGATTCCCCATGCCGTGTGTGTGCTGCTGTAGCTCGAACATCAGTACTTGAGTACAACTAGTAATATCTTAATTAAATAGAGGTACTTATTGCAGAATGGCTAATTGATATGTACACTGAAAATTGGATGGTTCTTGTCCACGCTCATACCAAGTACAGTACAAGTATGTATCTTTTATTGCTTACACCTTTGGAATATCGACCGGGACTTTGTAACACATCAACCTCGTTATCGTGGACCTACCGGCACCAGTATCCGTAGAACACTGGGCCTATCGGACACCTAAATGTCTTTCTAAAGCGCTATGGGCTTGCTACGTCATCATAAGTACGTAAGTTAAAATCCAAAGTACACGTAGTACGACGTTTGTCTACATTAGTGCTAGAAGGCATGCGGCGTGGTAAATATAACAGCCCTAATTAACGGCAAAACTAATGCCGATTTTCTCTCAGGAGTGTCATGGGTGGATAGCTCAATGGTAGAGCACTACATTTCACTGATTACTGACTTTGCACGTTCGATTCCCCACCACTCTAAGCCGTAATCCGTGCTGGGTAGGGACGGCGTGAGCGATTCAAGGTAGTCAGAGAAACCAAAGGATCTAGGTTCGAGTCCTAGTCCGCCCAAGCTTTTTACTTACATTGGCCACAGCTTGTAGATCCTATAGGATGAGAAATGCAAGCCTTACCGCTTAGATGTACATTGTTATACTGACGAAGAATCTCACAAATTGCCTACATACTAAGCTCGGAGATGAAAAGTGCCGTACATGTAACACGTAGTTCTACGGGAGAAGGGATTCGGCGAATAGGAATACATATGTATCCTCATAGAATTTTTAATAACTTGATATCGTATCACGTTCAGTATATACATATTACCTCGAGTACGACTGCTTCGTAAGCTAGTTCTATGCGCGCTTACGGTCTAGTATCCCGAACCCTGGAATTATGATTCTCCATCCTTTCCCTCGTTTCAAACAGTGGGGCTTAAAGGAAGATTGTGGTTCTTGGCATTGGCAAATAGCACCTCTGGTCATCATTCAGAAGTTCCGAGCCCTGTGGCGAGCACCTTTACACTCCCAATTCGGTACCTCCCCTCTGAGTACTAAGTGTTCGCACTACGTATACCAAGGAATTAGTAGAACGCGGGACTGACTAAAAGATTAAAAACAAATAGATCAGTTCTAATCAACAGAATCTCAGGAGCCGGTCCATTTGGTAATAACACGAGTTCTATCGATTATGGAAGGCGTCTTGCTAAGGCTTTGTCTCCCCCCCCCCCCCGGGTTGCGTCATATAATATCACTCGGTGATACATGGGGTCACGTGACGGACTTAACTGTGTCCTCTCAGTACATAATGCTATTGAGTTATGTGTGTAGCTTTCGGCGTTAAAACAATAAGTGCATGTAAGGTTGAGATAGGATGGAGGTTGAAGCGTATGTGGACAGCTATAAACCTCCGAACACTCACTCCGTGACATGACCCGATAAAGTGCTATCGGGCATCTCCATTAACTCGGAATACTTGTAAATACATATAGCAATAAAATATAAGAGAAAGTAAGAGTAAGAAATGAAAAATATAAGGACTATAATACAACTCTAACTTGACGCTTGAGTACCCGTTTCCCTCTTTCTTCCTCCTCTCCACCACAGACTTTGCTTCCCCAATCAGCCCGCAGCTCGAGTCCCAGACTAAAAAGCGGTTCTGTAGCGCTATCATTTTCGGGCATAGTAAATCGTGACTTGACATGATCTGGCGAAACAATGTCCTCACTTAGAAGAAAATCAACTATCTCCTGACTTTTGTTACTAATAGCGTACTCCAATGCTGTCCATCCATTGATCAAGTTCGACGCCCAAACATCCGCACCTGCCTTCCAAAGTATCTTTACCACTTCTAAGTGCCCTAGAAGCACCGCTACATGAAATGCCGTTGACCCGTCCTTTAGGGTTGCATTTAAATCCACCTTAGCCTCCAGTAGTGCCTTTAAAACCTCGAGGTGACCGCCGTAGACGGCTCCATGAAGGGCAGTCCATCCAGAACGGTCCTTGGGATTGACATTTGCACCCGCGGCTAACAGTACCCTGACTACAGACTCGTGTCCACCATCGCAAGCTAAATTCAGCGCAGTTTCTCCATTATTTGTTTTTATCTCGGTGTCGGCACGGAATTGAAGAAGCGTCTTCGCGATTTGATCCTTCCCTTCATACGAAGCACAATGTAGGGCTGTCCAACCGACGGTACTTTGCGAATCCACTTCCGCGCCTTTATTAATTAGTATCTCCAGGCAGCCGTAACGCGAGTTTGTAGCAGCCTCGAAGAGAGGAGTGTGCCCGTATTTGTCCTTACTTGATGTATATGCGCCTAGCTCGAGAAGTTTTGCGACAGCTCCGTCATGTCCGTTACTAGCAGCATGATGAAGTGCCGTGAGTCCAGCAGTATCTGTTAGATGCAGGGAGACGCCGTTGTTATGAAGCCTTTCTATCTCCGCTGGATTTCCAATATATGCGGCATAGTGTAACTCGGCCGCTGTGGCTTCCGATTCCCATCCCAACATTGTCTTCACTACATCCATATGCCCCCCACGTAGTGCCATATGTAGCGGGGTCGATCCATCTTTGTTTTTCGCCCGGAAATTGGCCTCGGACCTGGCAAGCAATTCTAAAACCGGAAGATGCCCACCAAAAGCGGCGAGGTGCGATGCTGACCACTGTTTCTTATTGACTTCATTCGGGTCTGCGCCTTTTTCCAGGAGAACCTGTACGGACGATTGGTTCCCTTTATGCGCAGCATAGTGCAATGCTGTACCGTCTTGATCCATTAATGCTATATCTGCACCTGCACTTAAAAGAGCACGGATAGCCTCATCTTTTCCGTAGAAAGCGGCGTGTTGTAGTGGCGTTGACATCAGGTTGTCCTTAGCATCGCACTGAGCCTTCCCTTGGAGAAGCGCCTCGATTGATTGCACCTCTCCTCTGGTAGCAGCCAAGTGCAGGGGGGTCCGTCCGACGATGTCCTCTGACTCCATATCCATTCCTGCATCTATGAGTGTCTTAATAACAAGTGGGTGTCCGTTTTTCGCCGCCAGATGTAATGGCGTCAATCCTTCCGTATCCCGTGCCTCTTTATTGACACCAACATTTAAAAGATATTGAATGACAGTATCGTGTCCATAATAAGCTGCCCAATGTAATGGTGTCCGGTGTTTCCTGTCCTGAGTCTCTTTATCCCATCCCCGAGAAACCAGGATGTCGACTATATCTCGATACCCACCCCTTGCCGCCAAATGGAGGGCTGTACATCCTTTTCTATTCCGCGATCCTTTGTCCAATGAAACTTCCATGAATAGTTTGACAATTTCAACGTTTCCTTTTTTGACTGCCCAGTGTAGTGGCGTGTATCCATCCTTATCCCTCTTCTCTCTGTCCGCACCGTGCAAAAGTATCTCAACAAGTGGGGCCAAGTGCCCTTCTCTGGCCGCCAAATGAAGAGGAGTACGCTTCTTTATGTCGACTGCTTCTATATTAGCGCCTGAGTCCAGGAGTATTTTGGTACATAGTTCGTGTTTTAACAAGATTGATAGATGAAGTGGTGTTGATTCTTCGCTGTCTCCTGCGTCCTTATCCATGCCCTTTTTGAGAAGAACCTCGATAGACCGACTTCCGATTTCAGCAGCCCAGTGAAGTAGGGTGCGCTGGTTCGAGTCTCTTCCATTGAAATTCGCACCAGAATCTAGGAGTATCTGGACAACTAACTCGTGTTCTTCTTGGGTACCTTGAATGGCTAGCTGTAGCGGCGTCAGACCTCTCGGATTTGGTGTATCCTTTTCGGCACCTGCATTGAGAAGCAATTCGATGCACTTGTTTCCTTGCGCGGCTGCCGCATGGATTGCCTTCCAGCCTTGTCTATTTGGAATCTCCAAGTTTGCACATGCGCTCACGAGGATTGCCACAATATCATAGTTTCCTCCTAGACAAGCTAGATATAATGCAATATTCCCGTCATTATCTGTGGCATCTTTATCCACAGTGGTCTCTAACAGGAGCTGTTTGACAATTTCATCATCTCCCCTAATAACTGCCCGATGCAACATTGTCCATCCTTTCTTATCCCTGAGACCGACCCCTGGGTATGGGAGTAGCGTTTTCACGCAGTCGACCATTCCTTCTGAAATTGCCCAGTGAAGGGCCGTGCATTCTTGATTATCTTGCACTTGCGTGTCTATACCCGCAGAAAGAAGAACCCCCATAGATTTCAAGTGTTCGCCTATCATCGCCATATGCAGTGCCGTACGATTGTTGATGTCCCTGGCATTCTTATTCGCGCCTGCCTCTAACAGCATCTCGATGATCTTGACGTTTCCTTTCCGACTTGCAATGTGTAGGGCTGTAAGCCCAGCATAAGTTAATGCCTCCTTATCTGCACCAGCATCGAGAAGTTCTTTGACTAAGAGAAAATAGCCTCTCTCAACAGCAACATGGAGTGCTGTGAATCCATACCCTAGGGTGCCACACCCTAAGAAGGCCTTCACCGCATCATCATGGAGACCTTTTGCCGCAAGTAATATTGGTATCATTCCATCGTGGTCCCTAATATCGTCGCCTGCATCTTGTATGCTCGAGAGTGTTTTGACCACACGTTCGTGACCTTTGACCGCAGCAAGGTGAAGAGGCGTTCTTCCGTATTCATCCTGTAGGTCTAAATACACATTTTTACACAGTAATTCAACCATATCACCAGATCCGCAGAAAGCTGCCCAGTGGAGTGGTGTCCTTCGTTTGTTATCAAGGATGCCCACTTTAGCTCCGTGATTAATCAAATTATCGGCCATTTTGACATCATTTCGGATAGCTGCGCAATGGAGCGGTGTCCACCCGTCTTGTCCTTGCGCATTTGGGTCTACGTTGTATTGCAGAAGCGACCGCCAGATATCTGGTTGCGCGCAGCGTGTCCAGATAATATAGTGCAAAGGTGTCCAGCCAGCAATATCCGTTGAATTGACGTCTGCATGGCTTAGCAAAAGCGTATCGAAACTCTTTTTATCCTTTAGCCGTGCCGCGTAGTGTAGCGGAGTCCATCCAAAAATATCTTTTGTTTGGAGGTGATGGTAATATACAGACGCAGAGTGTATCTGAAAATGGTCAAGCTCTTGCTCTCCGTGTATCACGGCCTCATGCAACTCCGTACGACAAAGAAGTTCGGAATTACGAAGATCTAGCGTGTGGACACTCTGGAATATAGCTTCTGTTTTTAGCATCCATCCATCGCATCCTTCATCCCGGCATTGAAGATCGTACATTCTTGCCAACATGTCCAGGACAGGACGAGAGGATGATTGAATTAACACATCGGCGAGCCTCGATCGAATTTCTTTCAGACGTGTGGATGATTCAACGATGTGGCTTTGGTGTTCCCTCTCCTCAGCTGTGATGCTTATAGCCCGAATAAACTCAGTCATCGCAATACTAGCTTTGATACCAATGGTGTGCTCATGTCCAAAGGACATGCAAGCATGGAACGCCCACAAATAGACCTCTGCAGCCCTTTCGAATTGCCCCGCCCACTCTTGCTTTTTCGCCTCTTCTCTCGCTAGTTGTACCACCACTGCACTAGGGTCGGGAAGTTTTCCATAGGCAGATAGTGGAGGGATAATACTTAAATATATCTCCTCTTGACTACCTAGCCCAGTTCTCTGTATACCCTGAACAATCTTTGACAGTGTGGGGTTTTTCAGTGTAAATGATTTCCAAGCATCATTTCCGGTGCTAGTGGCATCCTCAACCTGCTGAACCGTTGCCGGCCCCATCAAGCGTGCGATATTCTCTCGACTAATGGTCTCGGCCACAGCCCACATAAAACTTGAAAACATGTCTTGAGCAAATAGCAAGCCGATGGGGGCATCTGAAACCGCAGCCAGGCTAAACTGGGAATCGTCTTGGTCCCGAACGGCACTGTTCTTTTCCAAACTTGAAAGGTCACTGGTAAGGTCTTCAGGTAGCTGTTGAATTTTATATATCATTGACCCTGTCCGGCTTTGTGATGCACAACACGGGGCTGTCTTATGCCCTAAGTGTTCTGGTTAGCCGCTTGTGGTTTTTGTTGATCTGGATAAAGTTGGGGAATATTACCCCTAAACCCAACAACACGATGACTTTCGACAGTGATAGTTTCCAGAACTTCAGTGTTCATGTCATCTTCGGGTATGGTGGATGGCATCCCCACTTGAGATATTCTCGAAATATCGTTACCAATCCACCACTTCATATCTCTCCGAGCAGCCCTTGTACTATTCCCAAGAAGCCGCAAACCTTGACGCTTCGATGGCATTTCACTTCTCAGCCATGCACTCTTATCGTTATCGTCATAATTTGCTTCCTCTTTCTCGCGTACTTTATAAAGCCATAAGGACAGTGTTGCTTCAATTTCGGCGACATCAGCACTCCATTTGCCCCTAGGGGCCGGACGTTCGATCTTAAATGCAATCAATTTACCATTAGGGGCACACATAGTCCAAAAGCACTCATTCCCCAAACCATCCCCACTCATAAGAGTGTTCATGACAAGGTCAATTGCAGCCGTCACGGATGTTGCATAATCGAGACCAGAACCGGGCCACTTTGTTAGCCACCCGAGTTCTTTCCGGCTTTGGACAACCCGATTCATTCTCCCGGTTCTATGGCTTGAGATCTTTTTCTTCAAACACCTGTATTCATACGCGTCCTCCCCAGTCATGATATCCCAATTGAAGCAGCGTCTACTCCAAAAAGGCTCCTCGACTTGGTCAACTACCTTTGGTGGTTCCTGTCGCATACATATTTTACCCCAAACTTTCTTCCACCAAGGCGGGGGCGAGGGCCCAAGCTCCCTCCAAAGATCACATGTTTCGTGCGTAATTCGCGTTGCCAGCCAGTCGATCTCATGCTTTGGGGGTAATAACTGGATGTATGGACGCTTTGCAAGTCCGCGTCGTACCCATGCTCTCAATATCACCATTATAAGAGTGACTGCAAGCTGTGTAAAGGTAATAGACCAATGCAACCCCCGAAGACCAATAAATTGCCCAAAGAATCCGCATAAGGTTATGATTGCCCCTGCTGAGGTTAAAACCTCCGAACTCATAGAACTTCCGTTATTAGATGGATCGGAGGGGCCGTAGTTATTCCGACGTGATGTTGTGATGATATTGCGTTTGTCTTTTGCAAAAATTGCATAGGAATCGAACTCCTGGTCCCCTACAGTGGCATTTTTCTGTAGCCATAGGATATGAGCGTCTGCATCCTTTATCTCATAGTCCTGTTCCCTTGTGCTGCGCTCTATTACATACGAACAAACAAGCAGGCCAACCACCAGAAGTAAGGTACCAATCGATGTGAGAGGGAAAGCATAGAATGCTATATCTGACCCCTCCTTTTGATACTTGAGCCGGGGGTGGTACGTAGCAAAGCCACCATATATCAAGACAAACAATTGCAGGGTTGTTCCAATCACGGCTACAGCATGGAGCTCATGCCTTCCACTGTGATCATGGATATTGAGAGATATGTTTGGAGCACTTTTCATCAAAGGCTTCTCGACCGATGTTTGTAGATTCTCATGCTCTTTCTGTGGGTTCTGGGCTTTCTGTGGAGCCTGGGCTTTCTGTGGACCGCCGTTCTGCTGAGTCTCTAGCTTTGGCTTTGGCTGAACCTCCGGGTCATCTGCTGTAATGGATTTAGCGCTCTTTCTGACATATGGGAAGAATTGACCAACTTATCTTCTTCCACGGTGGCCACAAAGATGGGAATTCACTCTCTTCTATTGAAATTGTTACTGGAGATACTCGGAATTGGTAGGAAAAGAATGAGTTAAGATTCACCTTTTACTTTTGAAACAATCTTGTCTTTCTCGGCCTGTTCCAATGTCGTAAATGTCGATGACATCTCTCTATGCCCCTCTGATCTCTTGGCCTTATCGGCTTTCTTATCAATACGGATCAATTCCCTGATCTCTGGTGACCCCATTATCCTCACAATTTGCTGCCCATTCCACAGCTCACAAACTTCATGCGACGTTGAAGACATCAGCTCCACTTCTGCAACCGCCCGATTTTCTCTAGCCCTCCCAACAATTGCTTTGAGCCAGCTTGGCCCCCCAACTCTTATTGCGCTAACGATGGCGGTGATGATGCCCAAAGGTCCCATCGCGAATATGATGCTGTCGGCCCAACCCATTGATTCACTCATGAACTGTTTGGCGACCTGTTCTCCGAAGAGCGCAAGCAATGGACCTAGGTCGGAGATGAAATTGTTCGTAAAGTCACTACCCTCACTCCACCCAGATTTCACATGTATTCCGGACATCTCTCGTCGATTTTCCTCCTCGCTGCTGTTTGGTTTTGTCTGGTGTATGAGATATTGTCTGGAGTCTGCGCTTCTGTCGAGGCCCCTCTCTTAATACTCTAGAGAACCGGCAGAGGATTTGCGTTCTCATCTTTACCTCAATGGGAAGTTCACTACCGGCAGCTCTTTCGTGTATCACAAACCAACATATCCGGCTATTTAATTAAACAATCGAGATATAAAGCATATTGCTCCGCCTCCACAAGAGAGCGTTAGGCCAACTAGAAACAGGCGCTAATTCTGCAGTCATCTGTGCTTTTAAATTCTTTAGAGCACCTACTCGATTTGTATAGTAAGGGGATAAATTTCCTTTTTTTCTGATCCGCATTGCGGGGCGATAAAGAAAATTTGAGAGTGCTGTAGATCATAATGGGCTGAAGAGATGTATGTGTATACTGAGACACTCACTTCTGCGCAGCCATGCGCATTGGGGGGGCAATTACCCTATATAGGGCGCATGTATGTCCGCGTGTTACACATACAACATCGGTAGATCGAGAGTAGGTACAAGTACCTACATACGGCGGCTAGATGTCCGGCTAATCATTATCTGTGATCAAAACGTAATCAACGCTTTATTTGACTATGACATAAACCGGGTTAAGTACAAGTACGTTGTGAAAAATAAACTAGTACATATGTAAACTACACGTATATACTTCGCTTTACTCCCACCAACACTCTTGCAACCCCCTCAAAAAATTTGCATTCACTCTCAAAAAGCTCCTAGCAAGATCGATTTCATAGCCATGGGGTTGTTTCCTCACATATCCCAGGCATAGGGTAGACCACTGTTTACACTTGTCCTCGTCGCCCATGATGAGGATGGTATCGACTCTATGACGGACGTAGGAGGTGGCTGATTTCTCGCTCGTAGGATTGAGAGAAGGCGGGTCTCTAAGTAAATAGCGGACGTTATCATGCATGATATACTCAGACCAAGGCATGTCCTTGGGTGTTTTTACCCCTAAAGTTTCCAATGTTAGTTTATTTGATTTAACTACTCGTGGATCCAAAGAGAGAGCCTACATTCCCAGATCCTACCCTCACGATCAACAATTGCAGTATGGAGAGCATCTTCCTCAAACATTTCAGACGGCCAGCAATACGGATCAGACGCAACTCTAAGTAGGCTGTATGTTGAGCCTGGATGTTTCGTTTCGTGCTTCTCCATCTCCTCCCGCAGGTAGTCTCGCAAAAGGTTAGGATAGCGATAGTGCATATCAAGAAAGAATACTTACTAGGTCCTGGGGGTATTTGCATATCTGGATCACCTGTAGTTGGACACAACAATCTTCCGGTAATCACAAGACCACGGTAGTCGGAGTAGAGATCTAGGGGCTTATCAGGACCTTCACGACCAACAAATACAGGTACGCATGTCATTGCCCAAGAAGGCTGAATCAAGCCTTTCTTCCACACTGAATTGAGGTTAGCACAGACCAAATTTGATTTTAAGGATAAATACGTACAACGCGTAATGTTCTTTTGAATGGCGTGTTCCCACTCCCGCGGCATGTCGTAATCAGCCATACTTTCACCTCTCTTCGGACGGAGCCTGTCCCATTCATCAAGTGCACACTGAGAAGCCTTTGGTGGACGTCGCTGGTGGGGAGATTTAGCACGACCCTCTTTGTCATGTAACGCTTCAAATTCTTTCCGATATTCCTTAAGTTCCTTTTTAGAAACCTCCGAGCATTCGCCCCATAGGCGCTCGATGATGTATTGACATCTCATGAAATTTTGAGGAATGAAAGGAGTTCCGGTCATCACTGTTCGGAGTCAATAAGGCTTGCTTCAATTAAACCAGCGGTATATCTAATTACTTACGTTCTTGTTGTCTTTTCTCAAGTTTTTGACGGGTTTTCGTATTCATGTTGTTTTGCCGACGCCCGACATCTTTCAAGAACTTTCGCTGTTCCTGGTAATGTTGCTCATTCCCGGGAAAACACTGAAGTTGCTGTTCGAACATAGCATGGCTGAAGTCTTTGCAATGTCAGCATCACTCATGGGTTCTGAATAGTAAATTACCTTCAGCTTGATCATAAAGCTCATCGTTCTCCTCTTGTGCTTGATCACAAATGCCAATGAACTCCATATGATCATCTTCGCCATCATCCCAATATGAGTCAGACGTATCTTCCCAGTTTTCTTCCTGATCTTCGAGATCGTCATCAATTGTCGGCTCCCTCTCTTTTGGCATCTTCTCAACAATCTTACTCAACATCTTCTCCATCAGGATTTTTTCCAATCTTTCGACCTCCTTTTCATCTGTAGCCAACTTGTGCTGCTGAGCGAGCTCCCTCAATCCTGCATCACCCTTGAGGCTGCTCTCAATATCCCAAGTGGTGTGCGTGTCGTAAGGATGGTCCTTATCAACGTCCTCATCGACACTGTCATAAAACAGGTAATGGCTTCTTCTTAGCTTCGCCTTCTTTTCCCCTTCTGCATCCGACTTGCGTCGGTATTCCCGGATCGCCATTTTTATGTCCCTTACTCTGGCTGCCATTGTCCCTTCTTTGCCCTCTTCCTCTTTTGCAGTTCGATAATATACCTCTAAAGTAGACTCGAGGACTGAGATATGGTCTGTGAATTTGAATGCTTTATGTAGCAACTATTTTTGTCAGAAAGTCAAGATGCTAGCGTGGGAATGGAGTTGTACCTTCATGAGTGTGTATTGAAGATGCTCAGGTGGCCTCGCAGGTAGACGATCCCAAATAACGACATCAAGGCAATCTCTAAAAGATTGCCACAATCGCTCCCGCTCTAAAGTTGCCTTGAAAACTTTGTCAAAAGGATGCCTTATCGTCCACTTTCCACGATGAAGCCGACCAGCTCCTATTTTATCTCGAATAATCCACCTTTCATCTACAGGAGGGTCCACTAAGACATGGCCTGTTTTGCAGTCCTTTATATACACAATCAGCTCGGAACGATGTGTCTTGAGGATCTCGATGAATCTATAAACTCGTGGGTCATCCCGAGACATATTGGCGGCAATGTAATTTCGAGCCTCAGTTGCAGCATGCAAACGGACGGAACTGCCGCTGTGTCGAGAGGTTTGGGTAAAACCAGATGCATGTATGGAGTGGTGAGAGAGGGCATAAGGTATAAAACCAATTCGTCGAAGGTGTGCGAGTGGGGGTGACTCTCGAGTGGTATCCCATCCGTTTTTCAATCCCCGGAAATAGCCGTTTAAGGACAGAATGTTCAACTCGTAGAATTCCTGCCAGGACTTACACAGGCTGGCAGCGGTGAAGAAGGATGTTCCAGTGAGGATTGCAAACTGAAACCAGCCTCGTCGCGGCATCTTGGTTTCGGCGGGGTAGTTATAGATCCATTTCCCGCAAATCTTTACACGGTCCATCTTTCCACCCTTTTCGGGTGTTTGCACTGCGGGTTTCGACCGCCTCTTTCTCCCTTTTTTCTTTTCTTTCCCATCGTCCTTCGGCTTAGCTTGATGCACAACTAACTCATTCGATAGCTCCTCATCCGCAGTGCTCTCCAAGTCACCCATCTTTGCCCCGGCCCAATAATCTGCGCACGCATCACGTATGGAATCATCCGAAGGCTTAGAAAGCTCCAGAGCGAGATCCCTCAGATCTGTATTCCGTACGTGTACAGTATCATGCAAAAATTCGTCGATGGAAGAGCTGAGGATAGCAGCAGATAGCAGCGAAGGTGATGCAATGATTGAACGTAGAAGGAGGTATTCGTGCACGGCTCTCACCTCTGCACGAACCCTTCCCGAGCCACTCTCGCTATCTACATTGATTTCCAGCGCTGGTTGATTGGCTATGGCTAAATCTGTTACACTTTGAATGATTGCCTTCATATCTTGGTCCTGAATTGCATCTATATCGAGGGGATCATCTTCGCTATCGGGGGCTTCTTGAATCCCTTCCGCATTCTCGATTCCTTCACCGTGATCGCTCTCCACTGTAGGTGCCGGAACCTTCTCACTATTGCGATTCTTTTTCCCCCTTTTCCCCTTCTTCTTTTTCGACTGCTCTTTCTTCTTTGGCTCTTCTTCTTCTTCCGATTCCTCCTTTTTCATCTTATCCAGCTCGTTTATCCTCTTTCTATTTCTCCTTTCCAACTCTTCCTTCACACCGTCCTCGTGTGACTGCACATGCAGGCCAGAGGTAGGCGGGGCCGGGGGACCTATAGGCCCTCTCATGAGGAACGCCTCCATATGTCTCCGCCTTTGTGCTAGCAACTTATCCGCCTTTGATTCAGCCATTCGTGCGCCTAGTTCTCCAGTGGCAGCCGCGTTTATCTCCTTTGCTCTTTTTAGCGCTAGCTCCATCTCTTTCTCCTCCACCCCCTCGGCGTTGATAAGAACTCTGATAAGCGCCACATATCCTACCCTAGCATCTTCAATGATCTCCTCAATTGGATCCCAAACCTCCTCCTTCTCAATCTGAATGCGCCGCTTCGCTTCCTCTTCGTCACGTAGCTTGGATACGTTTTCTTGGTGGGCTTTGAATAACGCTGCTTCGGCCTTGACCTTTTTCTTCTCGGCTTCGGATTTAGCGTCCATCTCTACTTGGAAAGATTCGACCCAGTTGTACCATTGTGCATCTGAATACTGGACATCCAGTGTACGTTTCTCGAGTCGACCGAGTGTGGTAGTCAGAAGAGCACGCGTGGATCGGAGTCGTTCAAGGTACGCCTGGTGCCCAAAATCTACCCGTAACAAATATTTAAACTTTAACTAAACCTCGGCCATTGCAACGATACAGGGGGAAACAAACCTGACTTGTCCACATAAAAATGAGAATGATGGAAATCTCTAGCCATGACGCATCTTGTCACGAGATTGTATCTCTGCAGCATATAGGCATAAATTTCTTTCAGCTGGGGTAGAGTCTTGACCGCCGCGAAGTCTGTGTTCCCAAAGTTCTTTGGCAAACATTTTGGAGCGTTCTTCTCTAGTGCTTCAAGCTCCTGAGATCTCCGCTTGTAGCCCTCATAGAGACCTTGTACTTGACGAGCGTGGTATTGGCAGAATTGGCCATTGGCGTTGGTTGCGGGCTCGACACACGACGAGCTGTCGTGAATGTTGAGGGCAGTACAGATGCCCATTTCAAGAGCTGTAATCCCTAGCGGTCAATGGATTATAGCAAGGTGAACTGATTCGAGAGTGAAGATAAGAGATGAGGGGTGAGGGGTGAGAAAGATGAAATCAATCCTCCGACAGGGTGCTGAGCTTCAACTAGCACTCAGGCTTTACTTCCGGGCGTTTGCCTCCGGTGTTTGCTTCTGACGTCAAGATTTGTTGGTATGGGTTAGGTTTACCGCGTGCTCAGTCCTTTTGGGGGGTTATCCGCCTTAAAGATTAGCTCCGCGCTTGGCGGACGCTAGCTCAGATGTTACTACTAGTAGATAATCATTGGCTCTTTATCAAAATTATTTTCTCTTGATGGTACACAAATTGTCCTGTGCGTAGCCAGAGATATGAAATATTACCATGAGATGCATGCGCGCCTACGCCTGTACGACTAGAGTAAAGCTACATGTAGCCAGGCACCGAATGCCCCTGTTAAATTACCGAGTCATACACCATGACGACCGGAATGATCTATGGAAAAACAGGGGGAGGTGAAATTGTCTGGCGAAGTATCTGTGCAGCGCCATATATATAACTGTTTTTTCCATAGATCGTTCTTATCGCTGTACATGTAGTACATACCAAATTACATGTATGTAGGCTCTAGGAAGCAATTCAACGGGCGAACCCTCTAGAGAAGATCCGTGGGGAATACTGTACTACAAGAAAGTCCCGGAAGCAGACACTGTGCCACCATGATGGGAATGTGCATAATACAACATGTCGCGCCAGAAAAAAGGAGGATTGACATTTGATGCTTTGGCTAGAGAATCGTTTCGGTCGTGTTATCCGAGTTAGTCTCCTCAGAATGGGTTTGGGATTATGCTACTTTGGATACGTCTTAATCCAATCTCGGAATCTTGCAAGGCCAGCCAGCAGCACCTCGGTCAAAATGAATGACGAAGCGTCCTACATATTACGATCTTCGCATCGATCCTCGCCTACCAATCCTCGACGATGCTCCAAACATAAGCATAAACCTAAGCGAATGCCAAGCGTGGGGCTCTGCGCGGCTCTTTTATGTCAACACTCCTCAACACCAAGATAACTCAGTGAAGCGCGCACTTGATTTTTGACCGAGACCTTTCAGAGGGCATCTACCAGACTTTCGAATGGGACATGAAGATTGCCGAAGGGAACGTACCCCCACCGTGATGCCAGACAGCGTGCCCCAAAGTTCGGAAGATAAGTCCGCAGTGCTACTCTACTCTAGCAGACCTCTTTCGGCTATGCACCCCCAAGTGAAGGATAGAGGATACGGCCCATCGAAGCCCTCCGAATTAAAGGCCCGCGGTACCTACATGGAAAGGTGATCGATTCCGGGAGAGACACAGGAACACACATGTGAGACAGGTTCACGACCCGCCATGATTTATTTTCAGCCCCTGATGGGATTTCTCCCTTCCGAGTCCCGATCATGAATTGCTGCTCGACGTCCTCAAAGACAGAGAGGGTCGTGTATGGTCTCTCTCTCTACTCAGATTCAAGGGACAGCAGATACATAGATAGGTGATGGATAGTGCTGGGCACTGTTGCTGTGACTAGCTCCTGAGCTGCTGGTGGAAAGTGACATTCTTTTGATGGTTTTTTTACAATGAAAGTTTACACCTGAGACATCTCAGCAATTAGTAGGCACACTGTGAATCGGATTACCTGATTTGACCTTCTAATCTCGACTGTAAACGCCAACCGCTTCCTGTCCAAGGAACAGACCTGTTTGTACCTGCTGCTGGCTGCTGGCTGCTGCTACTGTACAGCCTCCCTCCCAGGGTACAAGGCCGTGACAGGGGTTGCCGTAACAACGAGCCGTCACGCGAAAAACAAACATGGATCTCGTCTGGCCATTAAATACACACACTTGCGCCGCACCCCAGATGAGTGTACGTGCATCCCTCGATCCTCTCATCCACCCGCCCACCTCCCACCACCACCACCAAACAAACCGACAAACAAAAAAAAAAAAAAAAAAACCACAACAAAACACCACCACCACCAGCCAACCAGGCACTAGGCACGTCGCGATGTCCCACACAATGAATCCCCCACGCGTCCCTTCCTCCCATATAACAATCCGGCCATAAACAGCGTGGAGGATCTGAATAGCTTCAACCCTAAGCGCTTCTCACAGCAGTCCGAGGTGCCCATGATCGCGAAGCCGAAGCCAATGGCCCCCTATGTCCACCTCGACCAGAGCACAAATGCAAAGATCGCGCGAGCAGAGCGTGCAAACGCAACGACAATCTCGAGAAGGGCGCTGCTGGGGGTTCGGGTGCTGGCCATAGCGCTGAGAGCTCTGCAGCTGCTGGGTGCGATGGGCTTGCTGTTGTGCATGATGTTTGTGAGGAAGCTGGATGATATCACAGGGTGGATTTGCCGTGTCCCGGTATGAGCTGATGATCCATTCCGTTCATCATGGCATTCTTGAGGATGAAAGAACTGATGATGTCTGTATATAGCCGGCGGTAGCTATCTTCCATATCGTCTACTACATCTACCATGTAGCTTGTAGTGACCGTGTCCGCACCCCGAAGTCCAGCGTGAGCTACTTCCTGTTCGCCTCGGTTGTGGACCTTGCCATCATCTCGTTCTACGCCTTTATCGCCATCCTCAGCTATCGCCAGCACCAGGGCGTCACCGACGGGGCGTGGGGCACAATCTTCAACAACGACGATGCCGCCTCAAAGATATTCATAACCGTCTTTCTCGTCGCCTGCATATCTGGGTAAGCGCCTCCGCCCCCTCCCTACCTACCCACTAATTGTAAAAAAAAAAAAAAACTAACCTCCCCAGTGCACTTGCCATTCTCTCCCTCCTCGTCACCCTGTACCTCATCCGCATCTTCCGCCATCTCGCCTCCCTCTCTGCCGACCAGAACCCCTTCCTCGTGGACGAGAAGGACTCGGCAGCCTACACGCCCCTCGGTAAGCGCTGGAGCGACTCCACCACCGCCACCGCCGCGCCCTCCATGCCCGAGATCTCGAAGGCTGTCCCGTTCCTCACCACCCGCAACTCCGACCTCTCCGTCCGCGACTCGGCATACTACACAAACATCCCCGTGCCCTCCAAGACCGCCCGCCACAGCCTCTACCCCGCAACAGGCCATCTGTATCCCGCCGGCGGGCCCGTATACGACACCCCGGCCGACACCAAGAAGTCTGCTACTGCCACGGTCGAGAGCAGCGGCGAGAGCATGAGGAGCGTGAAGAGGGGGAAGAAGACGTGGGGGAACCTGAAGGCGGGGACCATGCCGAAGAGGAAGGATAGCGGGTCTAGTAGCATCTATAATGGCGCCCCGGCACCGGTGGAGGAGAGGAGTACGAGTACCTCACTGCAGCCGGAGTCGAAGGGCGACAGGGACTGGAGCTTTAGCTTCAGGAAGAGAAGCGGGGCGCATGATGCGTCCCCTTAGTTGAGTTCTGAGTAAGAAAGGTGAGAGGGGAAGGCGGGGAGGAGTTATAGGTAGGTGGTGAGTTTAGACGGTGTCTTTGTGGGGGGTCACTGGTGGTCCTGTTGTGATTTTTTTTCCTTCTTGTTTTCGTTTTCCTTGTGTGATGGCCTATTCCCTTTGTTGTCTCATTCTTAACGTTGGGTTGGATCACGGGGGGGCGTGGTGGGGCTCAGGGTTGGATGGAGGTGTATATGATATCTGATGTGTTATGATGGAGTAATGTGAGGTAATGCAATGCGAATGAACGAGCGAGGAGTCTAAAAAGTAGCAATGACAATGGATTAAAAATATATATTCCTGATGTTATCGTGATGTCAGCTTTGGGCTTCAGAGCTCTGCTGCTATCATCTGTGAACCTGTGATACTCTGTCTCATACACCGGGAATGCCCGTGGTCGCGGCGGAAGATGCCAGACAGATGCCATGCTTATGCAGGTCCCGGGCCCGGCCCCAAGGTAAGGGGTGCTGTGCATGTACTGGGTCTCATCTTTGGTAGAGTGCTGTCAGGCATACATGTAGTATAGGTATTTATCGACGTGTGGAGAGAAGTGGCTTGTGCTGGAATGGATGGGGCTGTCTCAGGTTGGCAATGAGGTTGTGTAGAGGAGAGTAAAGTATAGTAGACCAGAGTACTGCGTGTTCATGATCATGGAGGTACTGTATGGTATGTAAATATAGGTAGGTACCGGGTGCGCGTCGCGTTGGGGGGTGTGGTTGTGCTCGGTGCGGGTGCGGGTTGACGGTGGGGAGATAAAGTTCAACTGCAAGTGACATTGACATTGTCAGGATAAACACCCCAAAAATGCACTTTTATCGCCCACCAAATCCGAGAGAACACATTTAGAGTCGGTTTAAGCTTATCCCCCGCCCCCGCCCCCGCCCCAGCCCCCGGCTATGTAGCTGGACCCGAGGCCCTGTACCAATTTACCCACCGAGATCGATGACACATTGTGAAATTGCATTAATCGAAACGTAGGTACCAGGTTCTTGCCCGAGGCCAGGTCTGTGGTGCAATATCAGTTAATCATGGTCTGATCAGTGTCCTTATCGATATCGCTGTCCACAGTGGCTGTCAATGATTGAGTGACGTGTTTTCGGGGCTGTCGGGGGGTGTTGACAGTTGTTTCTACCGAGGATTCGTATTGTACTTGCTTGGCAGTTGAGGTAGAACACAGTCTGGCTGTCTCGTCCCGTCCCTTTGGATTCCCGGGGACGCATCCATGTAGATAGCTGTAGCTAGCTGTGTAGGTGTGGCAGTACTGTCCGATAGCTCTCCTCTGCTCTGCCCTGCCCCCCTCCACGATCCATCCCCCCACCCACTCGCAATGTCGGGTTATGGTTATCCCCCCACTCGCAATGTCGGGTTATGGTTATCGCCAGCCAAGACGATCCTCCCGCCCGCTCTCCCTTGCTTGACGATTCACTGGTTTGATTCGTGATTTGATTTCTACTCGTCTCGTGTGCCCTTTGGAGAGCTGTGATTCGTTCGTGGAATGCATTGCTTAGTCACGCGTTGACCAACCCCCCCCCCTTGCCCTCGCACACGTGCCGAGGCTCTTTCGGTTCGTCCAGCCAACAGACACGAGGAAGAGGAAGAGTCGAGCTGAGAAGAAAGCTCTGTTCTCTTTGGCTGGTGAGAGGTGGCAGAGAATATTCACAACTACAACAACACAACCACCACCACAACTACAACCACACACGTCCACAGCAGGGACAAGAAGGATCCACACACAAAGAACAACCCCACTGTTCATCACGGCCCACTACTGCCACTGCAATGTCCGACTCAGTTGGTACGAAGCTCCCCCATCCCTTCTACTACTACTACTGCTACCCTCGTCCCCACCCGGACCCTCCCCCCTCCTCCCGCTCCTCCCGATCCACCCCCCCGGGGCACAAAGCTGTTACTAACAGCTCACGGCTCACAGACCGGGTCTTTGCACACGCGCTGCAGACGGTCAGGAAGATTCCAAAGACGGGGAGTGCGCGTCCGCCCGCTGACGACCGTCTGAGGCTATATGGTCTCTACAAGCAGAGTATGGGTTAGTTTTCTTTGGTCCTCGGGGATGATGATGCTGTTGGTGCTGGTGTTTGTGGGTGGCTGACGGGACTGTAGAGGGGGATGTCAAGGACGTCATGGACAGGCCGACAAACTATGGGCCCGAGTCACGGCCCGAGATTGAAAAATGGTGAGTTGTGCTCTCCTGTTGCTGTGGTGGCTGACCTGCAGGAGGGCACATTGAAGGCTGACGGGTGTCATGCTGCTAGGGACGCCTGGAATGCCCAGAGTGGGCTGTCAAAGACAGAGGCGAAAAGGCTGTACATCGCGACGCTGATAGAGGTTTGCGGTCCGTTCTCTTTTTCTTCCAGCCCTGGTCAGCGCAGTACATTTTTCACGTCGTGGTAAACCAGCAGCTTCTAATTCGGGTTATCTGCCCTACAGACAATGCACCGCTATGCCTCGGCCACACCGTACGTCTCTCCCCAACTACTCTGGGTAATTTTGTAACTAACACCCCCGCCAGTGAAGCACGCGATCTCGTAGCAGAGCTCGAATTCGTCTGGGACCAGATCCGGTCCAACCAGTCGTCGCTGTCGGCGACCTCCCCGCCTCATGACCGCACCCAGTACCCTCCCGAGCTCGGCGTCGTCTCGCCGAACCCCTTTGGCGAGGAGGAGGACGAAGACTCGGGCGTCGACGCGGACCACCGCAAGTGGCGGCGACGCGTCGAGCAGGCGCTCGCCAAGATGGCGACGGAGGTCACGGCGCTGCGCGAGCGCATGGAGGACGATGCGGCGTTCCGGCGGCGCGGGAGGCTGCGCGGGTGGTTCTGGTGGGCGCTGGGGGTGCTGGGGAGGCATGTGGTGGTCGAGGTGGTGTTTTGGGGGCTGCTGTGGGTGTGGATGCAGAAGCGCGGGGATCGGGAGACAGTGCAGGCGCTGACGAGGGTGGTGGGGTGGGGGAGGGAGAGGGTTGGGGAGGTGGGGAGGTGGAGGAGGTGGGTCAGGTAGGGGGGTATACGGCTTATGAGAGACGGCGGCATTAATTTGGTGTATTTTATAGCGTGCGTGGTTTTGTTTCTTTTGTGATGTTTTCGATGCATGTAGGTGATGGTGATGGTGATGATGATGAGGGACATGTCTGTTTGCGTGTTGATAGAGTAGACTCTACTAGTGAAAAAAGCATCATGTGCATGAGTGGTCTGGTGTTTGTGTGAGCGGCGGGACGGGAGCGCGTTATCCAGCTAGAGTAGTTGTACGTGCGAGTGATAGCTTATGACGGAATTACCACGAGGTAGCAAAACAGTCCTGGATATTTGCATTTGCAACCTCCAATCCCGGTGATAAAGATCTTTCTTAAGTATTGGGCTATATCAGACAGGCGGGGCTAGGGAAAAGAGGGTTCTTTTCGAGTGGAATTGGGATCATGAGGTGTCACTCGGTTTGTGATTGGTCCGTGTTGGAATTGTTCAGGTTTTGGTTCTGGGTGGGTGGACGGGGGGAAACGGTGTGTCTGGGAAGGCAGGATGGGGTGGGGGGGTTTGGGTTATGAGTGGTGCGTATGTGGCCACGGCGGCGGTAGTGTGGACGACGAGCAAGAAGAAAAGCTCGAATCGGCTTGTGATAACAGCTGCTCGTCTCGATTTGACTTGTAAATACTTGAGTGTAGGTCGAGCTACTCGAGATTATCAGTGGCCCCACATATCTGCCCTTGAAGTCATTCTAGATGTGTATCGGTCTCTTCAATGGAATAGGTGTTTCCAGGGTTAGGGTTTCCTGCTCTCACATTTCATAAAATCAACTACCAAGGGTATTGTCCGCATGGTTAGTATGGTTGAAATAACACCGTAAAAGCTCAGCTTTTCAAGTCGAGCAGTGGAAGGAGCTCGAGCTGGCTCTACTCGTGAGGGTGGCTGCTCGTGGGTGCTTGGGCTTTGGGCTTGAGTCGAGGACTCGAGTCGGCTCGTATCGTCGATCACGCTGCGTGGTGGTGAGGGGTCGCTTCTGGGCCGGGCCGTCTAGGGGCTAATAAGGATGGTAGGGATTGGGTACTCTGTCTATAAATGTTGCTTCCGTTGAAGAAGTCGATAATATTACTTGTAAGATCTAGAGGGGGTTGCGTTGGCTGGTATTATTCCATGTGCAGGGTTAGGAATTGCATGGCGGTGGTAGTATTACCGATGGGAGGGTATCCGAGATTGTTTATATGGCGGGACCAGGTGAAACTATTTGGCACCAATTAAACCCTAGAGAGTGAGATATGAAATTTCTGCCTCTATTATGATAATGAGAAGTGAGATGGGCGTAAATCTTGCTGATAAGGCTCAACCCAGTAGTTATGTACCAGCTCTACAGCTACTAAATAATGAAGACGACGTTTGGCCGAGTGACACCCCATGACTCACTCGCACACCACACCACAACACGAGCACCACACACAGCCCCAGAACCGCCCCCAGCACCACTAAAAGATCCATCCATAAATGCTAGCTTATGCCCGCCGCAGATCACGATGTAAACACAAACTCGCAGATGGGGGTGGGTACTTCGCGTCGCTGGGTGCTAGCTAGGTATAAATCAACAGTTCCCCTGCCGACATAGTTAATTTTAAAACCCGATCAATGTTCTACTTCCGCGCGCTAACTAGTTACCAGTCGGTAGTTGCTTCTCTGTTTATAATCTTTTTCGATCGACGATCGAAGGTAGGTCGAAGATGTGGTTGGAGCGGTTGGTTGTGGGTTAGGGTTTCTTTTGGTTGTAAAAACCTTTTTTTTTTTTTTTGCGCGGAGTTGGGCCAGATAGCGTGTGGTGTTGGGCACGAGCCGAGCTGGCTGGAACACCTCAAGCTCTCCTTCTCACGAGCACAAGCCAGCTCGAACTAGTATTAGAAACACTCGAGCTTAGGCTCGAGCTTTTTGGACTATCAGTAATGGAGAAATTGGAAGATAAACCCCTTGAGTTCGTCTTTAAAAGTGAAACTTATATCGAGATGACCATTTTGAGCTCTTGAATTGGAGCTCGAGCCTAAGCTCGAGCCACACTCACGAGCTCGAACATCCCAAGCCTTCGTTTGCACAATCCGAGCCAACTCGAGCTCTAACTCAAGCTCGTCTCGAACAGGCTCGTGCCCAACACTAATAGCGTGTAAGTGATAGTTTTTTCTTTTGGCGGATAGTTAATATAATAAAATGTACTTCTGGTCGATATTTGGTTTTTGGTCTAGACCTCTGGTTTGGAGTAATGGGGCGCATGAAACCTACAAGGCCTGGCCAGGCATCGTCTCGGACTGTGGACGAAGAAAGATGAGAGAGTGTAAATTTGATTATACAGGAACTCTAGATAATTTTGTAATTGTCTCTGGACCTTTTTTCGAGGGGGACCTATTCATTTCGAGTATAAGGTTGCACAATCCACAATTAAATCAATAACCTTAGCCCTCCCTAGTACTCTCCTGTCGTTTTAACTGGAAAAGACCTGCTATCACAAAGCCTCGAGACTTTGGCAAGACTGATACGTATTCGTACGTAGGTCCAAAGGATGAACCCTACAAGGCGAGGAAAGACTGCTCTCTAGTCTCGTGCCGTCTTGTATTGTACCTATCTTAGAATGATTTCTTACTTCCTAGTATTTATCTGGATGACTGCATGCCATAATGAAATAATAGGGACTCAACACTGGGCCAAAGTTATACGCATATTCGGCGAAACAGGAGGGATTATTACTTCAGCTCTGGTTTGGATGCCTTGTGCTTATTTTTTTTATGTTTTCTGATGTGCATGACATGAGATTATATGTAATTGCACGACCTTGTATTCACGTACGCTCACCTGGAGCTTTCTCTCTCGGCTGAAATAAAGCTCAAAATCTGGGTCACTGGGGCGCTAAAGCTTAAGTAGACAATCATGTGCTATCACTCGTATCTCACCATGGATTCAAAGACACCACTACAGAACAAGACAGCGGAAATCACACTAGTTCAAATCTGACTGAAAACAACATATCATTCCATTCTTTCACTAGAACGCTAACAGGCAATATTATGTATAACTTATTCGCCAGACGGCCCAGTGATAGTGGTCGACAAACTTGGCGCAGATCCAAACACGGGAACATTGTTGCTCCAGTTGACTTTCTGGGCCATGGTGTACCTGTTCCCGTCACACGCTCCCCCACTCGCAGAGGTTGCGTGGTAGACGTTCCAGATCTCGGTACCGTCAGGGCTGGTGAAGAATCTATTGCATGTTTCCGTTAGCCTTTATCATTGCACATTTGTCAGGAGAGATTAATTGATGGGAACATACCCGTTGTGTCCGGTACCGTAGTTGCCATTTGCACTGCTAAAGACAGGTCCTGTCTTGGCCCAGCTGCTTGACAGCAATGGGTCACCGCCGTTCCAGGTAAGAAGACCGAGCTGGTAGCTGGCAGTCCAGCAGTAACTAGCACTGAAGGCAAGATACGTCTTTCCACCGTCTACACCACATCCCCATCAGCCACTGCATCCTTGATCTACAACTTACGAGGACAACTTACAGTACATAGCTGCGGGTCCCTCATTAACCGCGCCGCCCACGACCTCCCAGCTGTTTGTCGGCTCACTCAACAAGTACGGTGTTCCAATGGTGTACGCGTTGCTCATGAGCGCAATGTACAGACTCTGCAGGCTGTTGGGGCTGAAACGACTCCACACAAGGTACATGCTGGTTCCGATGCGGAGGATGGTGCCGTCAATACCCCACTCGGCGGAGAGACGTGCCTTGTAAGCGTAGCCAGAGAGCGGGGTGGTGCCGCCCTCGAGGACGTGTTGTCGCTGGTTGCCACAGCACTCTGCGGTACCGGCGGTGTAGTAGATCCACCATTTCGAGTCGATCCAGTGGAGCTCTGTCATGTGTTAGTTTATAGTCATATCTCCACAATCGGTATAGAGTCGGGGGTGCACAGTACCAGGAGCCCAGAAATTGCCGGCGCGGCTGGTCGTGCTGTCGGTCCACACGGTGGTGGGCGTGGCCGTCCTGAGCCCCGCGATGGTGGTGGCGCGCGTCAGCTGGATGTTGGTCCATGTGGTGGTGGTCAGGTAGTAGTAGCCGCCGGTGTAGACAATGTGCGGGTCACTGCCGTTGGGGTTTTTGAGGGGATTTGTGAAGCTGGCTGCACTCGCGAGAGAGGCGAGGCCCACGAAGGCGGCGGCGAGAAGGGGAGGAGCTGCATGGCGGCGGCGGCGGTGGTGGTGAAGAAACTGGATCATGGAGCGGAGGACGGGGCTTATATCGTGTGGGAAGGGGCGAATTGGACCGAGATCTTCGGAGTGTCGGAGCGGATTCTTTGTGTGGGGATCAGGGCTGCGGTGTATAGAGGTCCTCCGAGCTGTGGATGTGGAGATATCAAAGTAAGCTTAACCGGTACCTGGGCTCTGATCCTTGACCCTTGGTAACGACTCACGTTGACAGCCCTCTACTCAACCCCCAGAAGGGTCTGTCTGCCTGGTGCTATTCTGCCGGTGGCTTCCATTGGGCGTATACCCCGGCCGGCATGCGGGTGTACGGCATGTATCGATTAAGCTCGCCTGGATAAATTTTATAAATGGCTTCCCCAGGATTCGGAGGATTCAGCGCTGGGGGTAGTTTTATTTGCTTTTTGGTAATAATTTGGGACGGTTTGGGATAGCGTGGCCTCTGTGACTGGATAAATGGAAAAATACAATACCACCCCTGTATAATTGGAGAACCGGAATGTTCCTTGGGGATTGTTAATTTGTATGCGCTCGCGGCTGTTGCTAGTATATGAATGGTTATTATTGCTATTATTTGGTCTAGGATAGGAGTACATGTAGTACTACTACTGAGAGTTGGATTGCTGTTAATTGCTACTGTTCTACTTCTTTGGTTGCGAGGTAGATAGGAGTCGAAATGGGATTATATATGTAGGCACCAGTGAACACCTTTCTTCATTTTCCCGGAATCAAGATATCGCCCCCAGGTCCAACTTCGAACAAGCACTACCAATTACCATTACTACCGCTGCTACTGATACGAGAGGTCTCACATACAAAGAGCGTAACAACGAATTCCCCACACGCACACCGTCCCCTATCCCTGTATACAAACTCCCTTAATGTCACTACCGGCTAATATAACCCCCCCGCAATCTCTCCGTCCTCATCCCATCCCCACACATCTCGTACCTGCACCAAAGCCAATTCTGCCTAAACTCGGTCGCGGGGCGATCTCGGACGAAATGGAGCTTTCCGCACGGCATCGTGACGTCGCACGTTCCGCATGGCTTGGTCACTGTGGATCACTTGTGGATTAGGGTTAGGGTAGTTGTGGTGGTAATGATCGTTGGGTGGGTTGTAGGTTGAAGGGTGGGTGTGTGGAGAATGGGTGGTAGATTGGTTGTGGTGGGGGTTTGTTTAGATCTGGATCTGATAATGGATAGGAGAAAAAGGTTATAAAGTGTTGAAATATAGAGTGAGGTTGGTTAGTAGATGGTTCGGATTGAATATTAACGGATAGCGGAATGGGTTAAGCTTATAGAAACGTGTGAAGTATAAATCTAAAAAGATCGCTGGGTTTTCTTTTGGGCGCCGAGATATGTTGGAAGTGTGTGTTTTATGCAATTCCATTCATTCTGGGATTAAATCACGGATATACTCATGTGCAAAGTGAGTTTTTGATTGATAGAACGTAATTCGAAGAAACGGATCGCAGGATAGCTGCATGATATAATTTAAAGCCGAAGGCATTAAAAATGAGCAGGGAAAAGCAAGATATATGTAGAAAGTACAGACAGGTGTCCAAAGAAAGCACTCTTAATTCACTCAACTCGTCCTAAGCCATAAATCACTCATGTCGGATTGACAGTGTAAGTGACTGTAGTACACGCCAGCGAGGAGTAATCACCGCGTAGAACTTCAATGCGAATGACTGACCGATCAATGGGTTATATCTCGAGATTTCGACCATTATGGCATCGGGGTGTCCCAAAGCCGAGTATTCGGAAGCGGTGCGCTGGAACTTGAATGTCATCGGATCCAAGCCATAAAGATAGGTGGCCTCCCCCACTGCACCCGCATCGCCTACAATACATCACCAGGTCACGGCAGGATCCGAAGGCGATGGTGAATACCATGAACAGAAGGGCGAACCTTACCGGCGCTGATGTGGATTGAGTTGGAAGACAACTCTACCAGCACCGAGGATGGCAGCTGTCCAACAAGGGTTCCGGAAGTGGGGTTTACCGTTCCATTGGGCAGAGGCTTGTCCATTCCGTTGTAGATGGTGAAGAAGACATCGTATGGGGTGGTCATGGTGCTCATTATGATTGATATAGCTGTGTAACTTTTCAGTGGAGCGAGAGTTCTTGGGTGGGTCCAGTGGTCGAGCGAGGATGAGACGTCTAGTAAGCTAGATATTATATACTTATACCTATATATTTATATCCCGAGGTTCATATGACCTTGATTCCTCAATCATTGCAGTGGGTACCATTCAACGCGTTCCATTCGGGCGCTAGTCGGAGACCAACACACAGCTGGACGTACCGTTCAAAGACTGCCTCTGGTTGGCCTATACCCCTGTTGTCTTGTGACGAATATTCTCAGATTTTGCGATATGTATGTACCTGTGCAAAGGGACCCGAGTTCGTAGCACGTATAGAGTAGTTGAACTCCAAAAGGAAAGAAGATACTCTCCGAAGGTTATCAACACCGAAAGCTTCCATATATACATGCACTTATAGATTAAAGAGCAGCTAACTGCATCCCGCCCACTACACACAAGGAGTGTCCGTACCGGTCCCGGGGAGAAAGGCTTGTTCGGGTGCGTGTGCCGGGTATATATGCAGCCTTCAGCTTCCGAATCACATGCGGCGGGAATAAGAAAGTTCAATGAATAAAGTTCTGCAATAGTAGCCGGAGCTATATACATACATACATGTACCTAGAGTAGATTCTGGCCCCGTTGCTCCTCAGCCGAGATGCTCCGTATGCGTTCATGTGGGTCGGGGGGGGGGGGGGGGGGGTCGTTCCAATTCGAGGAATTAAGCGATCGAATTGAATTCGGTGAACGGCTCGGGCCGTGTCGTCGGTCGTTTCGATTACAGTCGCAACTCGATATGCCGGATTGCCAAGATTCGGAGGATTTCGTGAGATCCGGCATATCGAGTTGCGACTGTAGGTATCTCCTGGATGTACGAGCCATCTGGAGAATCTCTCTCATGCATTAGCGCGAATTGGTAGTCATGTGACCCTAGGTTTGGCTGTGAAAATTTCTTTTGCATTTAGAAGTTCTTGATATACTTCGAGGTGCCGGCGCCAGAGGTTTGGCAGCTTGCTGCTTTATCTAGCTGGTCAATCGTTTCCCCGATAGAGCATACCAATGCGTGAGAGAGATTCTCCGAACGCCTGATATATACAGCTTGTGGTAGAAATACGGGAGGAGTCCTATTGGTTTAACCAGCCATACAAACACTGTTTTCAGACCCCTTTTTCTACAATAATTCCATCTCTCGCTGTACATCCATGGGTATCTTATATATCACAGTTGCAGGCGATATATTGGCATGGTCACGATATTGGGAATTGGCAAATGTAAAAGGTTCAGGGTGCAGATCTTGCACCCATTTAGTACATACAAACGAGTGCTCCCTGGTGACTGACAGGGGCGTATGTAGAACTACTGTTGGCTCTATTGAATTTACAACCGGACTAAGGTAGCAACCCACACAAAAGCAAAGGATCCGGCTTCAGTTGGGTGAGCATATTCCAGCTGAGAGCTGGCGCGGTACGCAAGACTCATATCTAGATAGTATCTCATACGGCATCAGCACCTCTTGTTGATAATCCTTATATAACGCGTACGTGCGCATGATATCCCCGAGACTGTCAAGGAAATACTAGCTATCGGCTTGGGGGAAGCAAATTTAGTTAAGGTTATTAGCTTTGATTAGGGATACTCATGTAAACATGCATGTATGTTAATCTACCTGTAAATAAAGAGGAAACACCATGCCCGGCCACTACTAAGCCCATGGTTCGAAAAACACTTGGTGGAACGTTACGGCACTTGGGAGACACCACGTGTATGTTGGGTTTATCATGACTCCTAGACGCTATAACCCATGGCCGCCGGGTGTTGTGCATCTTGAAATAGGACGCTCGGCACGTTTCATAGTTCTGGAAGATTCTCATCATTTCATTATAGTATTTGTCATCGGCGTATGACTCACTTTCCTATTAGTCATTCTATTACTCACACGTCCATGACTCATTGTATTTCTTTTGTACTACCTTTCATCAGTATAAATACGGGGCATTCCCCCTTAGCTAGAACAATAACACGATCAATTACTTTACTTCTCCCACATACTTTTCTCTAGTGCAATCCCCAATTGAAATAACAAAATGAGGAGTCTAGGGGGTTCGCCATTTGTGGGATGTGAGGATAAAGGCGAGACGTTTTGGATTCATCGTGGAGTGAAGCCCTACCTATTGGAAGATGGTTATATTGAGTTAATTTAAATATGAAGAGATGGTTGTATATACCCGTCTTTTGATCTTTTACTTCAAACTGTGATTTCATAGGTCTGCTTGTGTAAATGCTCCTCTGTACAATTGTTAAGAAGGTAAGGCAAAGATATCAGAATCTTCCCTATATCCATTATTATGTTCTGACGGCCAGTTTATCGTTTCTAGATGTGGAATATTAAAGTTAAAGTGAAGTTTATGCGACTTGGTTATTGATCGAATATTATGCAACGGCAGCCTTCATATGTATATACCAGACACCCCCGGAATAGTCTACATTCAAACTTTCTAGTACAAAGATTAAATACTAAATAGTAATAGTCATATATACCTCCTCAGATCGGAAGCCTTAAATAAGTATAGGCGATCGAAGATCAACGAGTGATATTTTGTGATGTATCGCTGATCGAAGGCCCAACAATATTCCACGGAGATAACAACCTACAAGTTGCGTATATGCGTATATCGTGAAGCGAGCGCTACATCAAGAGTTACTGCTAGGCGAATTGAATTAATGGCCTATGCAGGCCTCCATTTAGGTGCCAGGTAGTACTGGTCAATGTGGAGATAATTCAATTGATTGATTGATAATTCATTTGTATATATATATATGCAGCTCGGAGGCTATGACACTCACTGGTCTCCATTCCATCGTATCAACAGGCAAGTGTAATGAATTTAAAATAAGACATATATAGAAGAAAAGATACATGTAATCCAGATGTAAGATTAGGAAATGAAAGCATGATGTTAAGCTGTGAATATCATGAACGATCGTGAACGTAGCTATAGTGCTTGAAAAGTTTAAAACTAAAAAGGAAAGAGAAAGACTGTAGCAAGAACACAAAGAACTAAAAAGGGAAATAACCAGAATATTCGAGGTGCGCAAACAGATCTATCCGGCCACTGGTGCAACGTGTAGCGGTTGCAAAACATCGAGCCATGTAAACGGCAAAACGCAACGCCCTACAGACTGGGCCAGATCCTCTCAAAGACAACAGTGTCATATGCGTTGGCCGGGAGAAGCCTGAGGCTGATGAAACATTCGATAGTCAAATATGCTCTACAGATAATCGTGTAGAGAAAGATGATCACATTAGAACACGTAGAGTCGTTCCGAGTCTATATCTGTAAAGTAAGGGTGCTTTTGTCCCACCCACCATATAGCGGTGGTTAAAAGTGGAGTGACAACAAGAGAAACACAGGATATCCACCATAGGCGCTGCTCGATGGGTGTCGGGAAGCTGCTGTATCATGCAATGCTATGTGCAGCACCGTATATGGAGTAAGTTATGAAATGTGCAGGGCGAGTGGCTCTATGCCTACGTAAAATTTCTAACCTGAGAAAGGACTCCCACATGTCACCTTCTGCCAATCCTTTCAAACGCTCACAGATTTCGGCTAGAGTGGACCGGCTAAACAGGCCGCCAGGCGGTGGCAAAGTATTAGCTCCGTCGGCGTCTTTGCCAGATATAGGCTCTGTAAGCGCTTCCTCAAGGTCGCGCCGGTCCCTCATATTAATATTCGGGATCGTTTCGATAACTGCTAGAATGCCCTTCTCCTCCGTGGTGCTAGGTGAACCTATAATCGGGATGGGTTCGATAACTCCTTGAGGCTTGAACCACTAGTCGAAGTATATCAAGGCCGTACACAATACCTGGACGACAACGTGAAACTCGAGCAAGGTGACTGTCAGTCCCTTCATCTTGCGGAAGAAGCACTGGAACACGATTGAAAAGGCCTGAATGAGAGCAAGTGCATTTCCAATTCCATCCGCTTTACCGCGATCCGCTATGAGTTTTCTGTTGACCACTTTGGGCACCGAACCCCTTGGCGCATGTCGCACTATCTTCATGAATTTATTTGCGCGCCAGGCTATTTCAAACGTCGGGTAGTTTCCATGGATGGATTCCATGCCGGGTAAGGAATTCTCCACGGGATCTAGATCTATTCTAGAGAAGCCTCCCATGATCACAAAAAAGGCACCTTCTATACCTAACAAGTCTCCGGCATCACCTCGATCGATTCCACGGTAGCTACAGAACTCTTTATGAAGAGTCCTTGCCCCCTTCCACTGCTCGTAAGCGGAAATAGCGACTGATTCCGGAGCTAAAAAGGCATATAGCATCCATTGGACCTTTGATAGAAGTCGTGAGAATGGTGTGCCGTTTTCAATAACATCATCGTGAATCACCGTCCAGATGTAGATAATGAGAGTAAAGAGACAAGTGAAAATAATTCCCAATGTCCCTCGTTCTTGGGGCTCGGGTCTCCAGGGAACTTATGACTCTGTTTCATTTGCAGCGGTTGTACTGGCCTGGGCCAATGGAATTAAAAGCAGGACTAGTCCCAATATCGCTATTCTGAACATGCCAGATAGGAGGCTGGTGAAGAGGTTAGGCGTCATTTCCGAAAGACTATAGACTTCCATGTCAGTAACGAGAATGAACAAGGGGTATAAACGGTTACTTACACCAATGATTGAATCAACCTAGATATCTTCGGGGGCTACCTGCGGAGCCGTTGGTTGTTATAAAATGAGAAAAGGTAGCTCGACCAGTGTAGGTGGGGCGCGCGGTGATTGTGGTAGAACTTAAGAGCTTGCTGTGAGCGGTGTAGTGATAAGGGAACGTCAGCAGAGAAGCGCGGGGGGATAAAAGGTTTACAATGCTTTTGGTGTAAACGGGATAAGTTATCACCCGTGGGGAGGATAAACAGGGATCAGGACTTCCTCTTTGGGACGCAAAAGATAAGTTACAGCCATATCAGGATATTGTATGCCATATTGGGGTGATTTGGGCCCCATAGTGGTCTAGCTTAATGCTGTTTATATTCGAAATTATATATCCTGTCTAGAAGGATAAAGTCAGATCATGATTTTGAATTTCATCGTGAGGTTTCTCCTCCCCACCGAATTATCCCTAAATCCATCAACCAGCATCCAATTCCATCAACAGCATGTTCAAATCATCTCCTTCATTGATGGGCCTGTAACAGTTAGGAAATACATTTGTTCAAAGAATAACATGCACATGAGTCTGGCGAAAGTGGGTATGGGCGAGCTATACTACGCCCATACCCGCTTCATATGATATTGGTGAATCGGTTATGATGGCTATGGTGGTGGTAAAGCGTACTACAGGTCAAGGTATACTTAGGGTGGTAGGTGTTCGAGACTTAGAGCCTACCTGCCGTCTGTCACGCAGGTGCGCCTACTAGCGCTGCTGTCACGAAGGTGGGCCTACTACATCTAGCACTCTGTCACACAGGTGTGCCGTCCCAATTTCCCACTAGCAGATATCTTTTCTGAGTGATTAGGGCGAGTGTGAGCTTTTCACGGATAAAACCTCCTTCACCAGGGGGTACCACAGTATGGGAAAATGGTATCCCATTTTCTTTGATAAGTTATCTTTTTCGAATTGTACCATAGGGCTGTGGGGATGTATTAAAAGGGAAGAAAGGAATATGTGACTATTCGATACGGAGTATTATTGACCAAAGCGTATAAAGCCTTAATCTCGTGAGCCATGGCTCGCTTAAGATGCTATGGGATAGCGAATGAGTTTCCCTGACATATATGCATATTTCACTGAGTGCGTCATTAAACTGCAACAAGTCTGGTGGTTCGCATGGGTTCTGTTCTGTACAACTTAAATACAACTATGATCATGACGGTAGCAGTAGACATGCGAGTACATTAGTGGGCGACACTGGTAAGTGGCGTTGAGTAATGATATGGCCGTGTGAGCTTTAAGGTGGATGTTTCACTCTATTGACACGTAAAGATTAGATGTTGGCTATTCATGGCGGGGTGCTGCTGCATGCGGCGGCCACAGTTGTTATTGATGGTGTGCTCCATGAGCTGATCGTCGAGCCGGACCATAAATTATAAAACCAAGCTGGCTTAGCTCATGGGCCGTTAATTGGGCTCAGTGATCGATCGTGCTACAGGGAAAGACTGATCAGAGCACGGCTCGAGCATGGAGGAAACGACAGAAAGGAGGTTAATATTACCCCCCTAGAGATCTGGAGGTCTAGCTAGTTATTCATCTTTACCTACTTCACCCTTCATATCATATGATTTATATGATTAGTATTTAACATATCACTTCCGGCTCGAGACTAACCTCGGAAATTAGAGTAAAGGACTGAATTCGATCTGAGATAGGGCTTGCTTTCAAGGAGCCAAAAGCTCTCCATTAAAGTTCGAGTTCGGTCAGCTCATAGATCACACTAGGCTGCCCACGCAGTACGCATTTGCCCCGCCTTCCCGGGTATGGTGGGATTCGGTGGGATGTAATTATTGATCCTAAACCTTGAGATGCCAAGGCATAGCAACATGATAGTCTCTGGTCCACAGAATGTAAAAGAACTAATGAAGAAAAAGCGCAAAAATATGGCAGTAGGACACAAGAATTAGAATCAAGGAAGCCTGAGGGATAGAGTCCTTAGGCGAAAAAGCACAACACAAATTATGGAAATAATCAGTTTTTGCTCGAACTTCAGCATTATCTCAATCGTCGTCGATAATATCAACGCGGACTCTCTTGCAAGGATTACACATAAATCGCGTACAATAGTAGCACGTCCAGATCCAGGGAACTCTCTGCCCGCAAAGATCACAAATTTCACCTCGCCCTCGCAGTTCGTGGGGCATCATGAATGCATGGTTGCAGGTGGTGACCCTCCCAGTAGGATCTTGATATAAGGACGGCTCCGGCTCCTTTTGAGTCAGTGCCGTGGGCTTAATAGGGAGTTTGAAGAGTTTTCGGAAGAAGATAAGCGTGGTGCGTCCAACGCCTTTTGTAGACTTTAATGAGTGGTATCTGCAGGCGCTGGGATCGTCGTGGGCACAGTGTAGGCTCTCATGGGGGAGCGCTACTTCATTCTATCCCCTCGTGGTTTTGTCAACTGGACCGTTTCTATATGTACATATATACACGCGTACGGGGCTTGGGGATGGAGTGGACTCACAGTCGATTCATATGGAGTGCGCATTCCACAAAAGTGGGCTAGGATCGGGTAATTGGATTATCGGTCGCGGCTTTCTTATAAATTGGAACAGTTGGAAGCTGATATTTTCACGTTCCGTAGATCGAATGATTGAAGGACTACTGTAGAAAGGGGAACATGGAGCTCCTGGATCGATGGGATTGGATAAAGTGCGGCTCGGCGCCTCCCGCAGTTAGGGTTAGGTGAAATATTAGCACATAGGGATCGACATATAATGCATGCCAACATAAACGGGGAAGAGACTGGTCCAATCTCTCCTTTGCTCGCTGCTACAACTGCATATACATATGGCTTTATATTTTCCAAAGTCGTCAAGAATGGAAAGCTGGTCCTTTCAATTACCGAGTATGATCAACTTCGAAGAGATCCTAGCTCCGCATGTTTACTCCCATCATATTATAATAGGGGTATACTAGCATCTGACCTAGAAATGTGTTGATCCGCCACATTTAGCTTCCTAATATAATCGTCCAAGACCCGGACCAGCACGATATCTTTGAAAATTCATCTCCGGGAATCAATTATCTGTACTAACTATCCCTTAAGGTATCTTTCCTCACACCTCCTCAGTGGAACATACATGTAGAGTATATCTCAAGGTCCTACCCTTCCAGCGCTAATCGTGGGCTATCACGTCAAAATCTGGGCACGGTCGCGTGCGACGGGGCACCAGCAACATAGATATCGAGAGTCACCCCCAGCAGGCGGATAACTGCGTCGAGCCCAGTAAGACATAGATTTGCATCGCTGATACATCTACATCTTCGCATGCCATCCTCTGTGTTTGTGAGGATCCTCCTTACCGAGAAATGTGATCTGTACCGGAGCGGGCCGTCGGAATATTTGTTGATGGAATCCGTCAGAGTGGTTCAGGGGAGAGCGCCGTTCATATAAATATCATGGATACACGTTGCGGTTGTATACATACATGTAGGTAATGTGGGGGCTGTTCCGGGTAGGGGGGAGTGGGGATTGTTTTGACATGCGCAGAGAACGTCGTCGGTTAATTAGTTCGCATGGCACATTAAAGGAAGTTGCAATTAGAGCGAACAGATCTTGATCTTTTGGCATGTTCGGGGGTGTCCTTTCGTGAGGACTGAAGTACTGTTACTGTCCTGGAAAGGGCATGGAGCCATATTTGCATAAACGGCACATGCACACGCTGCAGAACGCACCAAACAAACTCTACCGTGATATCAACTATAGATGTAGTCACATACATGTACAGCTGCAGTCTTACATACAAGCTGGACGAAGCACCAATTAAAGCATCATCCACTCGCACCAAGACCACAAAAATCCCATAGACAAAGAAACCACTATCCATCCCACCTCCCTGCCGACAAGACATCACGCAAACAACTACAGCCGCCTACTGAATCTACCCGCAATCGCCACCCTCAACCGACTGACCTCCCCGCTCAGGCTCCTCATCGCTGCCGCCACCAGTGACCCCTGCAGCCCTGCCGCAATCATTGAGCACCCAACCGCCGTGAACACACCCGTCATAGTCAAACTCTGCATGAGCGCGAATGCCGACCCCGAAACGACAACGCCACCCATCCCCGCCTGCCACCCTGCCGCGAGCGAGCCTATGCGGGCGTCGTTAGCATCTCATTTATCACCAGCCGGAAATGACGTGGAGAAAAGAGGCCCGGGGGGGGGGGGTTTACCTAGCACCGGCCCCACAGGCCCAAAGCCTATTGCGAGCGGGACGACAATCACTACGATCCCGCCAATGATGAAGGCCCAGATCAAGGGGAACTCACGCGGGTTGTTATGCGCATAGTTCTTGAGGTCGTCCCAAGCATCGCGGGGGTGATCGTAGTAGTACTGGGCGTTCTCTTTTGTGGTGCGGGCGGCGGACCTTATGAGCTAGGTAACTTTACGGATGACAGATGCTAGCGGGGGTGCGGTAAGTATATAGGAATTTAACTAAGTTGGGGGGGGAGGCGCATACGCATTGGTGAATATGTTGCAGCAGGAAGTGGTATGTCTTGAAATAGGGGTGAATGGGATATTGGGATTGATATAGAGCAGAGGTTAGTTTGCGCAAACCATTAGTGTTCAGGGGTCCAATGCCTTTGACTGTGTTTGTCACGCATGTCTCATGCGCCTCCCCGTTGCTTCCGCTTCTAGACGTTTCTCTAGCGTCAAGCGATGGGAGACGCTTTGTTGTATGCAGTATCGAGATTGCAATGGATGGCAGGCGATCTTGTGAGTAGTCTGAGACGGGAGAATATGTTGGGTTGTGTGAATTCCGAGAACCAGTAAGGATTCTTTTACATGCCAAACGCAGAAAAAGAAGGAAAGCCGGAGACGGCCGGAAAACCGATATGTTACATGAAAGTACATCAGCCCGTGTAAAGCAGTGTAAGCTACTAACTACGTTATATACTGTCCCCACGCCTGCCACCGCCTCGGGATATTGTCCAGCTTTCTTCCCCAAATCATTTTAAGGTTATTAATGTCCACAAAACTATCCTTCCTCAGGTAAACATTCGGAGACGAAGAAAGCGAACTCGACCTTTTCAAACAAGGAAGCAGCAGGAACCAACTAATCTCATCGATTGAACCAAAATTGTAAGTACAAAGGACATTACACCCATGGAAACACCGAATGAGCTCCAATACATAACCCGTGGGTATGCGACAGCCCGTACAAAGTCCCCACAGCTACAATCTTCTTGATGAATGATCCCTTAGCTCGGAAAAGCCACTGGAGCTACAGCTGCGCTGAGCTGGACAGTGTTGGAGGACCAACCATGATGAAAGATTGATTGATTACTTCAATAATTGTATTGAAGCTTTCCCGAGAAATATCACTGTGTAATGATTTAGCCAATCCAGGAGGTGTCTTATATTCCATTGCCGCCGCATCGATGTAATACGTATGATGTTCGTGTTTGTTATTTTGTTTCATTTTAATCATGGGGCATCACTCGGGCCCGGTTAGGTTCTTCCCCAAGTAATATCTCCACGCAAGGGTTTGAAGGCGTCAATAAGGTGCTCTATTCCATACGGGCGGGCATTGGTCATGCTTATATCTCGCTATTTCTGCCCGCAATGTGCAGATTTTGTTTTTTTAATCCTAACTCTCAATCTCGATCATTTATTTGCAATCTTGGTTTATCACTCGATCATGGTTCACCCGGGTAAATATCCGCTCTTGTCCAACCCACGAAACTGATCATTCTGCGCTCATCATGGGCGCCCCATGAAAGTCTTACGGCCTCTCTTGCATTAGAGTTGCCTATCGTCCAGAATAAAGACGCACCCAGCGCAGTCTATGGCATTTCACAAGTAATTTCAAGACTGATATACAGCGAGCAGGTTAGTAGGACACCTTTCATAGCAAAAGGTGGAGATCACATAACTTCGTGTAGGAGAGAGATTTCGTGGATGTCCCGTACGCCCAGGCCTACATAGTACTTCGCCGCCTTAGCCCTTTGTCCCTCGGTATACCTTACCAAATTAGCGAGTTCCCGAACATTCCACTATCCGGCCTCCGCTACACCATAGACTCTCGCTCTTACCTCGGGCAGTGTGTACCTTGGCATTGCCACTCTGGTTCTATAAGGTGGGCGTTAGGATATGCTCCTGCGAACCACTAGGTAGGGTTAGGGTTATATACCCGCCCAGATAAATTCAGGCCTCCAGTTTATCCATACATGCTTCAGGCCAACCAAGTATCCGCCACAAAATCCATGAATATAAGTTGACAGGACCTCGCTTCAAGTTAGACCCCAGCATCTCTACCATCCCTGATAATGACTTCATCGATGGATGGTCAAGACTTGGATACACTTTGCGGCCACGGCCACAGCCACGGCCACAAGCACTCGGCGAGAAAGATGTACTACCCTATTTCAATCCTATTTCTCTTTCACAAAGTGTGAAACCAACTGACAAGATATTGATCATTCCAGGCCCGGCGCGCCGGCGAAGAATAGTGCACTGGAGGATTGCCCCGGCGGGCGCTGCATGAGTTCCCTCGATTTTCATAGGGCACAGTGCAAAAAGACCCCTGAGTTATACGACGGTATGGTGGTTTTTGATCTACGACTAGTGTCTCCGCTGAGATCACCCAATAGACTGTAAGGGCAGATTACTCACTGGATCTGGCTGACCTTTCTTTCTCTAGCTACACAGGTTCGTGTCTCTACGATACTACTCGAGGACGGCCACTACCTCGAGGCACTCAACTTTTGTCTCTGCGCACTTGACCGCTCCAGTGCTGGCTGCCAGTCCCACGCCAACTTCGATCCCACCCTCGCATTCAAAGGTTTGTACTCACTCCCCGCGCTCTTACCTGCACTTCAACCCCCACCACTAACATAGTCTCTGCCATATCACCTGCACTCTTTAGAGCTCAAGCGCTACGCCCAATCTGACTTTGATCCCACTTACCCACCACCCATGAATATCCGGCCCCACCCGCAGTGTCAGCTACTGTTCAACCTCGCCTTCGCGTCCTTCAACCTGTACGGCGCCTGCGTCTTCTCGACAAGCATTCTGCGGCTGGCACACCACGCAAACCAGCACCACTACCCACTCCTGCTCGCCGGGGTTGCTCACTCCACCAAGGCGTATGATGTTAAGGGTCTCTGCTTCCGTGTGCAACCGCTAGGCTTGCACGACAACTTCACCGGTATTCGGGTGGACGAGGCGGCGGCGTACCATATGCACCACGTTGGGTTATGGGGTGGGGAGAAGATGAAAGGGTGGTTAGCGGACTGTGAAGAGGAGGTGAAGAGAAAGGCGTGTGATACCATCGACTGTGGGAAGGTGGAGGAGAAGGCGGGAATGTGGTTGATGTGTGCAAGGTGTAAGGAGTGGTGGTATTGCAGCCCGGGGTGCCAGAGGAGAGATTGGGAGGCAGGCAGCCATAAGAAGATATGCAAGGATAGTAGGTTGAGGGTTAAAAGATGGGAGGGTCCGGAGGTCTTTCTGCATTGAGCACTTGGGGTGGCAGCGAGGTGGATTAAGGGTGTATGGTGAGGGTGAGGAGCTGGAGGCGAGGGTTGTGATGCTATTTCCCGGTGTTTTCTTTTGTTGTTGGGCTTTGTCTGCGGCTTCCATTTTGAGTTCAACGCGCATTTTGGGTGCCTAAAATCCACTTAATGGTCAAGGGACCGTTCTCTATATATAGAAATTGGCAAGCGCCGCTCCACTCTTATTGTATTATCTTTTTTTTCTCGTCTTCTATTCTGCTCCCAACTGCGCATCAAACACATAATTACATCAGCCCCTTCAGGGGACAGTTAGAATCAAGTAGAATGCAGTAAGCCAATAGTATATATGAAGGAATGTAATACTAAAATGTATATAGAGTAGCAGCTGGAAGCAAATATAGCTTGGAGAAAAACAAGCGGATAAACCTGATATTTCTCCAAACTCCTATTTCATATTTTCCTAATACTTCTCTTAGGACATTCCAAGTATGCTGAGAAGAGCGCATTACACAATTGAACCAATAGTGTTGGAGGCTCTGCATCATTGATCTAAACGTTCTGCCCTATATAGCAGTCGCTTTCCACATATGGACGCCGGGATACGGCTAGCCCCCAAAAGTGGTCATCACTGTACAGCTGTAGGTAATAAGTGATGGAACGCCCTGAGAAACAGCGATACCTATTTTGGGTAAAGCGCCACCAACATATGTTGGTTGCAGGTATAACTGTATCTCAGGGCGTTCCATCACCTATTACCTATCACTACTATAGCAGAGCCTGTTCATGAATGGGTAATTAGGTCTCCGGCGTTGCCAAGTACGATGGGGCTGCTATAGCAAAAAAAAATATTTAGCAGAGCGGCTAGGTTTCCGGCGTTACTCTGCACCAAGGGGATGCTCCAGAAAAAGCACGGCGTAGTACCGACAGGTCTACGGCGTCACCAGCACCACACTATTGCTCGCAGCACAGTGGTAATATAGTAGGAGCAACTCGCACAACCACCGCCGAATCAAGTACGGCGTTGCTCCGTATCACGCCTCCACAAACCTTCATCTCTGCAAGTACAGCCAAAGCAAACGGCATGCAACACCCACTACTATACCACAACGTAGATGCCCGTTTTGGCCCGCCCAAGGCCGCACGAGCCCGCCCGCAATGCCCCGACACCCGAAACTACGGTACAGCACCCAGATGCGTCTGATCTGTCATCCCGAGTCACAATCAGTGAGTAACCCGTGATATTCTCCCTTTTATATCTACGACCGCGGATTCCGCACAGTTAATCATAAGTTATCACTCGCGTCAAGACCAAACCCTGCAAGCGGGTCACATGGAACCACCCGCGCCAAGATGTTCGACAGACGGCCAATTAGGCAGCCAATATACCCCTGAAACCACCGCCAATTAAAGCATAACGGTGTTGCGACAGTATTTACTGGCAGGGAGGCAAGCACCATGAGTTGCTCCATCACCACGGCCCGAACAACGCCTGCACAACGCCGCAGCTAACATTTGCGCGGCACCACGCTCAGCACCACGCCATAGCTAACATTCTCGCAGGACCACGGGCAGCGAATGGCCAACACCATCCCCACCATCACGCCTCCATTCAACAACTAGTATAACCACATTTCAAGTACAGAGTTGGGGCAGCAACATGTAGCTGTCGCTACTCAATCTACATTCCTTATAAGCAATCATTGAACGTATACAGCACCACTTGATGCTTTAATATATCTCGCTGATCTTCAAAAAAAACCCCAATTCTCCTGCATATACGGACGAAACAGATATCGGGACCGAGATGATCCTAAACCGCCCTGCCTATTCCGCAGGATGCTGAAATTTAATTTATATACCGGATATATATCTGAGGAGTTTCAGATCAAAAATAACCCAAAGCTGTCCCAGTGATCAACGTTGACCACTAGGACCCCACTGGTCAAAGCTGTCCCGGTTAACAATTTTTGTCCGAACAAAGCCGTATTGAAGAATAGTTAGAAGAAGGAAACATCCTTGTAAAGAAGTTCGATTCGAAAAAATGGGGGTGGTCCAATGTCCTTTGTGGGCGGAGCGTAGTCTTTATCTCGGGGGAGACAGAAGACATAACGTGGAAAGGTTAGAAAAGAACACAACAGCGACACTAGAATAGGACTCTCATATATCCTCCTAGAATGTAACAGTGCTGATTATCGACCTTATCGCTTATCTGTGAGCTATTGAATCATAGCAATAACAGGGAGGAACAATGAGAAACAAATAAAAGAAACAAATTACCAATTTCGAAGTTTCTTCCACGGCTTGGCTCTGGCGTGCCTAGCATTTCCACGTATTCCCAAGCGTAGTTTTGGTCCCGTAAACAATACTGAGCCGTAACGATATCTCAATTAACGATATGATCATGATTGCAGAGTGATTTCCTTGTTAAGCTTAGTGGGGGCAGTTGGACCGTGATATTACTCTAGCAAGGTGGTAGTAGAGGGGAAGCTATGGCTCGAGGTGAACCTCCAGGTGCAGGTGGACGCAATTTGAAACAGTGGTGGTGTAGTCTTGAGATGGAGGTATTTGCCAGTGGAGGGCGAGTATTATTCCATGACTTACTCGATCATCTTTGATCGTGTTGGAAGCGAGTGCAAGGTAGATCTATACAGGTGGAGGTGGAAGGTGAGAGGTGTAAGGTACAAACGCGAGCGCAGGCTTAGGGTGTGTGTGAAACGCCAGATAAAGTCAAATGTGTATGAGGGGTGTGCTAGGGTAGTGATGAGCATGAGCCGAGCTAGCTTGAGCTTTTAACCAGAGCCTCAGGCTTGAACAGGTCGAGCTCTCTAACTCACGAGCCCGAACCGGCTCGAGCCCATATCCAAAAAACCTCGATCCGGGCTCGAGCCTGGGAACGTCTTACTAATTGTAAAAGAGTATTATCGCTGGGTGACCTATATACAAAATATATACTCCACTACCCATCCTAATACATATTTTGTATACCGACTTTTTGGGAGGGCTAATATTAGGTATAATCATAAGAGCTCAAGCCTAACTCTAAGGCTCGAAAAATTCGAGATTCTACCTCCAGAACCCTAGCCTCCTCGATTGAGGTCTAGGTCAGGCTCGTCTCGAGCCAGCTCGTGCCCACCACTACGCTGGGGGTACACTGTTACGGGTGCGGAATAGGTTTGGGAATTAAGTCAGAGAATTGGAGGGTGTCATCGAGAGCATGGTACCATTTAAAGCCTCCTGGGATTTTGAACGATGTCTCTCTGGTCTTCACGGATCGGTTGGTGGAGTCGTTGGGTTACGCGGAGTTGGATTAGTCAGGAGACTTCTATCATATTCTTTGGATTTCCGTTCGGTTGCGTGGTGTGAGTCATTGGGATTAGTCATCGCAGGATTTTCTTGGGTATAATAAGAGGGCTCTCCCTCGCTTCGTTTCTGTTTGCCTTTCTCTTCTTCTTTCCTTACGCAACGTCTTCTGTATTCCCTCGCAACACCAAGACTTTCGAACAACAATAACCTTTGGCCTGCACTCTCGATAAAACTTTTACTCGAACACGATCCTGTATGTCAATAGACCGCGTAATCTATTGGTATCTTATCGCACATCTGTTCGTACGCGAAGTTATTCACGCTCTAGTCCCTGAGTTGTGATCTCCTCACCCCTCAACCCTCGCTTAAGCCTCGCGACCGTAGCGAAAAACAACAACCTGGCCTCACCAAGCCCACCCAACCCACCAAACATCGCGGGCAGAAAGAGGACTCTATCAGAAATCTTTCCTAACCCAATCCGATCCGGAACATCAGTGATGTCCCAGCAAGCCTCGTTGAGCTCCTGGTTCGCAGGGGCCCCCCCTCCAGGAACCCCGGCACCCCCCCGCTTCCCCGACACCCAATCGACCCAACAGACACAATCCACCACAGTAGAACAGACCCAACTCGGAAACGAACCTTTCTCCATCTTCGCCGAACATACTCAATACAACGAACCATACGCCCCAAAATACGACTACATCCACCCAGCATTGTTCCCGAAGAAACCCACGCCAGAATGGACTTGAACTACATGTCTTGGGTGGTTAGAAACCCCATCACCATAGCACTCGAACCCCTCAACCAAACGACCGAACAAATCAACAGGCACCTAAAAGCCACCATTGAAGTCCTATCCACCCAAAACGATTCCCTCAAACACACCGTCGACGTCCTGGCCAAACAAATGTTTGAAATGACAAAAAACCAGGACAAAACATCGGAAAAACTCCACCGCCTCCAACAACAGCTCATCAACCTCTCTGTCAACAAGCCCAGCAACCAAGCAATCACTGAAGGAAGAACCTCCGCAATTGCCGCCGTCGCTGCTGCCACCATCACCGCCCCCGCCCCCACCACAAAACCCAACCACCCCAACCATGCCCAGCAGCCAAAAGGGAAAGCTAAGGAAACACTGGCTCCACCGGCACCAAAATCCTACGCATCCGCTGCGGCAGGAAACACAAACCCCGAATTCACGACTGTCACGAACAAGAGGAAAACCAAACCTAAAGCAGACCCCCTGTTCAAACCGGAAATCACCAAACTCAACCGGGAAATCGTGATCGAAACTAACAAGGAACTTCTAGTGACCCTATCGGACATCAGAGCCAAAATCAATGCAAAAATCCAGGACCCCGATTGCCAACTAATCGCCGCCCGGAAAACAACCAAGAACAACATAATCCTGGAATCAAAGTTCGCAACCCCAGCAACAAAGGTCCTTGAATACAAAAAGGAAATCGAAACTGCCTTGAACGAACTAAAGGTACCCTTCGTCGACATACGAATTAACTCCAGATGGTCAAAATTCATCCTCCATGGCATCCCCACCTCCATAGGCGAAGCCTTCGACGCAGGACAATGTCTAGCATCGGAAATTAGAAACAACTACGGCAACACTTTTGAACTGGCACAAATCCCGAGATGGCTATCAAAACCAGAAGCCCGAATCGGAAAGTCACACTCTTCCATGATCAT